CTGTATCATGTTTTCTGTATCCTGCGTACTTTATAATTTATCCTGTATCATGTTTTCTGTATCCTGCATCACGTATCATTTATCCTGTATCATGTTTTCTGTATCCTGCAGCACTTATCATTTATCCTGTATCATGTTTTATGTATCCTGCGTACTTTATAATTTATCCTGTATCATGTTTTCTGTTTCCTGCCTTTCGTATCAGTTACCCTGTATCCTATAATCCTGTATCATGTGTCCTGTACCCTGTGTCATTAGGTTTGTATCCTTCATATGTATCTTATAACCGAAGTTTTATTTTGAATCCTGTATCTCGTACTCTGTAGTCTGTATCATGAATCTTGTATCTTGTTTCCTGTATCCGATGTCACTTGAACTATGTATCCAGGAGAGAGGAGAACTGATGTATTCTGAAGATGAGGATGAGTTCTCGTCTCCTGAGGAAGGATCAGATTCTGAACCTATGCTTGATGATGATCAGAGAGGAACTTCAGTTAGAAGGAAATCAAATAAAGGTGAAACTAGTGATAAGCTTTTAAGAAGTAATCATTAAAAATTTTTAGTGGAATGAGATTGTTGAAACAATTTACTTAGTAAACATTAATTTTAAAAAATATTTTATTTTGTTGAATTAATTTATTACCCACCAGAACCTTAAAAACATTATAATATTAAATATGTCTAACAAGGAATTTAAGAATTATTGATGTAAAATAATGGGGGATTTCCAGCATATTCTGAAAACTGTGAAAATTGCAAGGATAATAAATAACCAAGTTTACTGCAACATGACTGAAGCTTGGATAGGGCTGGATGAAAATTCAATTTATCAATTGCAAAAAAATGATTAATGATACTTTGTTCCTAAGGAAATAGAAACTTTATAATGAACTCTTTATAGGAATTATCGTAACTTCAAGTATTTATCTATTTAAAGAGAAACTTGACCCTTTCACTACGATTTCTTGCATAAAACTACAATTTAAAATACAAAGCCATTAAGAGGTGACCGTTGTGAATCTGACAATCACTATATAAGGGTAATAATCTTGATAATATGTTGAATGTGCGTGTTTAGGTGTGATCAACATGAGCCAGGTGCTCCAGAGGCAGATGGAACAGGAGCTGGAGTTGGTGGACAGCAAGGCAGGGGGAGTAGTTCTAGGAAAGGTGAATACATTTTATTCAATAATTGTTTTTCATGTGGGTACTCAGCTTTGACTGGATTAGTAGTCCTGCAGGGTAAGACCACCACGGGATATCGGAGAGTAATTAAATTAATCTGATGGAGATTAATGCTTGATAAGGGGGGGTATTTACCCCCAGGATTCTAGGGGGGGGTATTTACCCCCAGGATTCTAGGGGGGGTAAATAACCCCAATAACCCCCCTTATGGCCGCCATTGATCTTGCCTAGCACGGGATATGTCCCTTAAGTTGAGGGGGAGGGGGGTGATCTCGGATGGTATTTTTGTTTGTGCAAAATTAGGATTTTCTGCACAAATATTTTTATATAATTCCAAACAAATCAACCTATAATATTTTTTCGACGCATTAGTAAATAGTTTAAATTTCATAATATATTTTAATTGGTTTATTTACAACACACGACGATTTTTTTCCCGGTAGGTGTCTCTCCCACGCAGAACCATGCAGAAACATCGAGAGTAGAGAGACACTTGGCGATCAACTAATCGTCGGTTAAATTGCATCACATAAAACAAATAAAATATATTAGGAAATATCAACTATATACCAATGCGTCGAAAAAATACCGATGCTTATAGATTGTAATATCTGATTCATGTGTTTGGAATTAAATTGATTGTTTTACGATCCGAGTCGAATATTGCAACTTTCTGAATTAGTATGGAGTATGGACGCTTCTTTTGGTAAGCGTCGTTTTTAAAAATTTTCTCCTCATAGACGCAACAGATAGAATTAAGGTTAGAAGCGATCACAATCGAATATTTTTGACGTAAGCCATACCCCCTTTCATTTTTCGCGAACACTCCCTTTAAATAAATCATAAATGTAAAAAAGTAAGTGCTAGTTTATTCAGGAAAATTTGAATTATCATATTTAAAGTAAAATTTAAATAGCAGTATTTAAAAAAAATCAAGAATGCTGCTAGTTAGTTTAGTGTATAACAACAGGAAAAGAGAACATAAAATTCAGAAATTTAACTTCAAGTATGTAACTTTTCATTCCAATGAATGTAAACAAAGTTTAACATCTAAAGACAGGTGTACAAGATACAATGCAAAGTAATGGACTTTTTAAATGTAATTGTAATGTACTTGTACAGTGTACGTAAACTGTACACTTTATGTAAATTTGTAATGCATGTTCAGATATATAAACACAATTGTACTCATAACAAAAATACAGTTCATATAACAGATATATCTAAAACCAACTGTAGTGTGTACTCCTAAAATTAATATAGTTCTTGAACATAAATTCCAAAAAAAAAACAATTATACTCTGTATAATAATACAGTTCTTGTTCATATATATTTATTTACATATAAACGACTGTACGCTGTACAGTTCTTGTATACATAAATATCTAAAAACAACTGTACTCTGTTCAAATACAGATATTACTAAAATCAACTTTACATGTACTCTGTATAATAATGCAGTTCTTGTACAGATCTTTCCAAAAACAAATGTATGCTTTACAATAATACAGTTCGTATGCTGACATATCTAAAAACAACAGTAGTCCGTACAAAAATACAGTTCTTGTATATATATATATATATTTTAAAGTAATTTTACCCTGTATAATAATACAGTTCTTTATATCAATGAAGTTTAATAAAATAATGATATTAAAGTCCCATCAATCCCACATAAAAAAAATTAGCAAATTCAAAATAAAAATGAGAAAAATAAATAACTTAGATATTTGTTGTTGTAGGTTTACATGCAGTCCCTGTCCTCCCAGCCAGTAGACCATGAGGAACCGGGGAAACAGATGGTGTTGGGGGACCAGGTAAGGGGAATTCTTTATGTTTTATTTCCCCTATAATTATATACTTTTCCCTCTATCCGTATCCGATACCTACCTATCAGTAGTCAATACTGAAAGTAAACACCTAACTTCTTTTTCCTAGGTTTATTATTGCTTTATGGTTCATGTAAATTGTATTAATGTTAAGTGTTCTGTATTTTTATATAATATCCTGTATACCATATTTTCTGTGTTATTCTATATCCTGTAACCAGGCGTCCCGCATCCCGTATCATTTATACTGTAACATGTTTTTTTTCTGTATCTTGCATCCCATATCATTTATCCTGTATCATGTTCTCTGTATCCTGCATCCCGCATCATTTATACTGTATCATGTTTTCTGTATCCTGCGTACTTTATAATTTATCCTGTATCATGTTTTCTGTATCCTGCATCACGTATCATTTATACTGTATTATGTTTTCTGTATCTTGCGTACTTTTTAATTTATCTTGTATCATGTTTTCTGTATCCTGCATCACGTATAATTTATCCTGTATCATGTTTTCTATATCCTGCATCACGTATCATTTATCCTGTATCATGTTTTCTGTATCCTGCGTACTTTATAATTTATCATGTATCATGTTTTCTGTATCCTGCATCACGGTATAATTTATCCTGTATCATGTTTTCTGTATCCTGCATCACGTATCATTTATCCTGTATCATGTTTTCTGTATCCTGCAGCACTTATCATTTATCCTGTATCATGTTTTATGTATCCTGCGTACTTTATAATTTATCCTGTATCATGTTTTCTGTTTCCTGCCTTTCGTATCAGTTACCCTGTATCCTATAATCCTGTATCATGTGTCCTGTACCCTGTGTCATTAGGTTTGTATCCTTCATATGTATCTTATAACCGAAGTTTTATTTTGAATCCTGTATCTCGTACTCTGTAGTCTGTATCATGAATCTTGTATCTTGTTTCCTGTATCCGATGTCACTTGAACTATGTATCCAGGAGAGAGGAGAACTGATGTATTCTGAAGATGAGGATGAGTTCTCGTCTCCTGAGGAAGGATCAGATTCTGAACCTATGCTTGATGATGATCAGAGAGGAACTTCAGTTAGAAGGAAATCAAATAAAGGTGAAACTAGTGATAAGCTTTTAAGAAGTAATCATTAAAAATTTTTAGTGGAATGAGATTGTTGAAACAATTTACTTAGTAAACATTAATTTTAAAAAATATTTTATTTTGTTGAATTAATTTATTACCCACCAGAACCTTAAAAACATTATAATATTAAATATGTCTAACAAGGAATTTAAGAATTATTGATGTAAAATAATTACGTTTATAAGATTGGAACTTAGCAATGTGAAGTCAGTGTGATAAATATTAAAAACGTCTTTTCAGGGAGTTAAGAATTATTGATGTTAAAATATATTATATGGCTGTCCGGGTTCTCCAACTAAGGAGGCTTTCAGATCTATTTTCTGATAATCCTGATAATATATCTATTCACTCATATACATATATTTATATGTATGTTAGCTATAGCTGGCCGAACAGTTAGACCAAATTTGCTGAAATTTCAAGGGGTTGACATAAGCTAAAAATATCAATTTTTTCTTGAAAATTAGAAATTTTGAGAAAGAAAAGAATCCTGCGGGCAACGCCGGGCAAACTTCAGCTAGAATTTAATATGTTTGATAAGAGAGAACTTGGAAGTGACAAACCTTTTTGTTTGAATTTTGATATTATATTTGCTTATACACATTGCAACATTGAAAATTAATAATTTAAATAATTTGCACACCCCACGNGCACCTCCGTACTCCACACACCTTCCTAATATTCTCTTGTTATTTCAAGATTGTGACTCAATGGAATCTCGAGTCTTTCCTTCCGAGAAAATGTCCCAATTTTACTCCGAATTCTACCTAATCAATTCGTTACAGTGAGATTCTAGACACGTAATTCAATTTGTTTTAAGAGGGATTTCATTACCTTGTAAACTCAAAATGTTGTTTAAGATATTTAACTTCTTAAATGCATTCGTTTACATTTCTGTTAATAACCCATTAAATGTTTAATATCTTGAGCTCTGACCATTAACTTGACAGGGATATATATTTTCCTTAGATAAAGCCGGGCACTTTAGCTAGTATCTCATAAAAAGATAAAAATACTCCTGTAATTTGTACCTTGAATGGTGTAATTTCTTCGCTGGTGGTAATACTTTTTTATTTAGATTTTTTTTAAATACATAGTTCCACTCTTACTATTGATTGAAGAAGTTACAATCATTTATAACATATTTATTAGTGCAAATTTTTTTAACTTATATTACTATATTGTTTGTGTTATAGGGTTAACTAACGCTGCGGCTCGTCAAAGGAATATGCGCCAGCGATTTGTAGCTCTTCTTCGAAGGTAAACTTCATGAAAATAGTTTTTCTTTCCATTATTTTTTTTTCATTTATTTTCTTTATGATTGCATTATATGAAGAGTTAAAGGTTTCGTTTACAATTAAATTAAACTTTTGATAAACAATTTTGGTGTTATATTGAAAACTAAAAAGATGTTTCTCTATTTCTGGATTAAGTTTCTTTTGGTTCAATTCTACGTAGAAAATTTTGTTCATTTATTTCCTGTTAACAAATAACAATAAGGGGGTTAGAGTAACAACAGAAACAACATAGACAGGGGGGGAGTAAAAAGGGTGATAGTTTGATGAAAAAGCAACATTAGAGAGAGGGGGAAAGAGAGAAATAGATATGACGTCACAAAATTTACATTTAAATGAAATGATCCTAAATTCATTATAATTTAATATTATCATGAAACGTGAGAATTTCTAGGAAAATGCTTAACTTTTGTAATTAAAGGGATAAAAATCCATAAATGTTTTTACAAAGTATTTTTAATATTTCAAATTGATAATTTTCATTTATTATTCCTCTTTTCTAGGTTTAAAGTAAATGAACCTGAACAGCTAAAAGGACTCAAATCTAATAATTTGTCAGGAGAGCAGAGGGCGCAGGTTAATTTTTAAAAAATTGTCTAATTTAATTTTTAAANTGTGTACGCCTCTGTTAATGTTCCTCGTGTTCTCACTACTTGTAGATTTTTCATAACTCTGAAAACTTTTTAGTATCTATATTCTATATATATCTTTACTGGACACAGAAGCTATGAAAATGGTATGTTTTGGTTTCAATAAATCAGTTCCAGGTTTTATCTAAAGCCTGTCTTTCCCGGTATACAAATGACTTTTTCATATAAAATTACTTTTAAAGAAATAGTCGAATCTAAAAAGATTTAAATTTTATTTAGATTGCCCTTGACTTTTAGCATTAATGATAATGATATCCATCAAAGTTTTTTTTAAGCAAATAATTTCCCCCACAATTAGAAAGATAATTTAAGATTTTTTAGTAAATAATTTCCCCCAGAGTTTAAAAGATTTTGATATCCATTAAAGATTTTTAGCAATAATTTCCCCCAGAATTTCTCTGCAAAATGAAAGATAATGGTATCCATTGAAGATTTTTTAGTAAATATTTTTTCCCAGAATTAGAAATAAAACTGTTGAAAAGGTTGGTGATGTTGATCCCGAGGAGATTGAGGATTTAATAAACGAGCTGGAGGACTTGTCAGACTCAGGACCTGACGTTGATACTATCTCTGTAGGATCTACTCCGAAACCTTCTCTCAGGTTAGAAAGAGTACAGAGGCAGGATTAGGGACAGGGTCAGGGATAGAGACTAGTAGCAAAAAAACAGACACGAAAATAAACAGAAACAGGGAAAGAGAAATTATAGGAATTAAGACAAAAAAATGAAATGAAAAAGGTTCAGAGCGTTGGACTGGAAAAGAGACATAGACGGAGCGGGATCTGAAAAATTAAAGACAAAGATTTTTATACCGACCGTGACAGGGAAAGAAAATACAGTGAAAAAAAAATCAGACATTCACTCAATATAATGGTGATAAAAAACCATCATCTTCCTAAATTAAAAATTAATTCTACTTTTAGACCTTTCTTCTCTTCATCCCGATCTTTGATAAGAGAAGCATTAGATCACCCAACAACAGTTAAACCTAAGAACTCAATCCTTGAAAAGGTAAAATACGTTTTTTTGTTAGATTCATCCTTCCCCTCTTATTTAAGTGACACTCCATTTTAGACTGGCATGTCTTAATCACAACGGTAACCTTTAACTCGAGACTAAATGAGATATTATTAGATTTTCATCTGGAAATGGATTAATGAAAATTTTGGTTTCTTTTAAAAAAATGTTCTGATTTTTTGCGAAGGAAATTGCGGGAATAGAGGAACGACTGTATCTTCTTAATTGTTACATACTTGAAATTGGTCTACTGTCTCTTTCTGAAGAAAAAAAGTTTTTATGAAGGATCTAATGAAAAAGAGTGGGAAAAGAAGTAAAATAGAATTAAGGTTCTGAAGTGTATTGAATTAAGTTAGTTTTTGTGTCGAGTGAAACTATCTCTATGTTGTTTATTATTAAAACACAGACAACCATAGAGGAGGTACAAATATTAATTTAAAGGGACTGTAATCGTAATTTTAAGTGACCCTCCAAGCCAAGATGGCAATGCCGATTCACAACGGTATCATTTAAACCTTAAACTGATCAATGAAGTGTTGGATTCTGATAATTCCCGTATGTTAACCATATAAATGCGCAATTCACGTTTGTAGAGAAACCACAATTTAGAAAAAAGTGATTCAAATTATAAACGTAGGTAGTTCAGCGACCTTTTCAATTTATTAAATTTTGGTCATTTGTGGTTCCTCTATACCACCCTGTGGTTTTATATTTGCACACTGCTCAGGAACTTTGAGTATTATCCTGGGAGTATATAAATGCACTACCTATTTAGGAAATTATTTTAAAAGTATATTGTGAAATCTACTTGAAACCTAAATATTAATTAGGTTCAGAGTTAACCACAACGAATGATACTTTAGAAAAGACAATTAAAAACTAATAAAAGGGTATATTGAAGGCAGAAGACCGAATCTTACATGAAGATTGTCATATGTAAAGATTTTGTATTCTCTTTCTCTGTGGCTAACCCTGTATAATAAATACTCCTAGGTTACAATATACCCACTACACACAGATAATGTTTCATTTCCCCCCTAATCAGTTTAAAACTATATCATGTTCGAGGTTATACCAGGACCAATATTTGTTATTACAATTATGTATATTTTCTGCTGTTAAAAAAACACTAAGAATATATGCTCGAAATTTCCATTATATTCTCATCCCTTTTTCTTTAATTTTTTAAGTATTGCTTTAAGTTATGTAGATGTCTAACGATTTGTTACTCTCTCAAAAATCGTCAAGTAAATTGGATTTTAAAAATTTGTGAACTGAAAATACACGCTACTTGTTTAATTATTGCTTAATTTGGGCTTTTATTACCAACAAAGTACGGATCGTTACCGTCTGTATTTATCTAGCTAATTATCTATATTTTATCCATATTGCAATTAATCAGAATATATATAATTTATATGTACACAATGTTTCTTATTAGCTCCTTTTAAGTTAAAACATGTTATGTTAAACAAAAATGATTATATTTTAACAATTTAATCTATATATAAATTTAGCTTGTCTGTCTGTCTGTTTGTTTGTATCTAATAAACGTCAAAACGGCAGAACCGATCGAACCCAAATTTTGTGTGGGCCCTCACGTAAGGTTTATGAATAATCAAAATGTTAACATTTTTATTAATAGATTTTATTTATTTTTTTGAAAATGCGCGAAAAAAAGTATTATGAAATCCGCAAACTTTTTTTTTTATATACTGTACAAAGAGAAGATGCTCACAGATAAAACCACACTTAAAAGTTGAAATAGAAGATGGCGCGAAGCGCCCTAAAAGCCTAGTAATATAAATCTAATAATATTTCTATCTATCTGTCTGCCTTTTCTATACATATAAATCATAATATTTTTGTCTATTTTATATTTATCTGTGTATTTATCTATATATTTCCATCTATCTTTCTATAAGCCAATTTATTTATTTCTGTATATATATATCTTTTAGAATCTATTTATCTGTCATTTTTTTATTTATCTTATTATCTTTTTGACCTTTTTATCTATTTATTTATCTGTTTATTTGTTCAGCCTGATTTTGGTTCTGACCATCTGTCTGATGACTCTAGTAAGGGAGGAGGAGTATCTGATTCCCAGGGTGAAACTGTAACAGATCCTGAACACTCAGATACACAGGGGTTCCCATCCTCTCCACCACAGTCAGGAGACGAAAAAATTAAGGTAAAACATTTTTCTTATTTTTTTATGATTCAAGATGGCCACAGTTTGAGGATGAATCAAAATGCACAGGCACAACGTGTCGAATTGTCTGCCCTTTAAAAAAGAGTAGAATTAGAGCTGTTTTACTTTTCTGGTTTCATTTGATTGATATCACTGATTTGCCCTTTTTCCCCAGCTCTCTTGTTTGATCTGGCTTTACCAGATGGTATGAATTGGTACGACCTTGTTTGACTTGATTTGACCAGACTGGTTTGACCTGCTCTTACTGATTTGGGCAAACCAGGTTTGACCCGATTTTATGTAGTTTGACCTATTTGACCGGATTTTTTTTACTTGAGTTGACCGCACTGTGTCAAACCTTTCTTGACCGCACTGGTTTGACCCTTAAAATCCTGATTTTCTATTCTACAATCCAACTCGTGACTAGATTTTGCCGGTTACTTCTTATTAAATTTTTTCTCCGGAGGCCCAAAGTTTTTACTATCTTCCTTTTTTTAAACCTTGATTAGACTTATCTTGTTCTATTTATAACAGTACTTGGTACTTCACGTTAAAGGGAGTGACCGGCTATGTAAGGTAGTTGAACTGAGTATACAGAGTTTTGGAAAACTTCTTTCGGATTCATTTCAGACATATTAAACTTTTTAAAGATCTGTAAATCCTGAGTTTAAGCGCAAATTCGACGTTCAAAACGCCTAATTTGGGGGGGGATACGTTTTCAGAATTAGTTTTTTTTTAAATCATTAAATAACAACGACATAGAATGTAAAAAAGTTCTACAATAAACTACAGACGTCATGTATAGGAACATGTTGAGAAAATAAAAATTAATCTTATCATCGAAAATAAGTAATCTTGTTCAATTATTAGTTACTGTTATCTCATTATTCTGGTTTCTTATTATTCACAAAGATTTTCGCACATTTTCTAGAATTATTATTGAAAAGACGACATTTGAAGAATTTGAAGAAATCTGCGAATAAATTAAAAGAAAATTAGAAATTCAATATAATAATTAAACCGAAATAATCGATTTTAGCATTGATTTATTGACAAATTTCTTTTGAGAAATATGTTCCTATCCATCCAATTAGAGTACTGTATAATTTTTACTTTATTTTTCGTTGTCGTTATTTAATAATTAAAAAAAACTAATTCTGAAAACGTATCCACCCCCAAAGTAGGAGTTTTAAACGTAGAATTTGCGCTCAAACTCAGGATTTACAGATCTTTAAAAAGTTTAATATGTCTCAAATGAATCCGAAAGAAGTTTTGCACAACACTGCGTGCTCAGTTTAACTACCTTACATAGCCGGTCACTCCCTTTAAACTAAAGTAAATTGAACTTTCATATGTTTTCAATCCTCCTCTTCTTGTAGAGCTATTGGGAATTGAAAGTTATTTCTAGGATCGACTACAAAACTAGCTTTTCTCTAAAATGAAAATATTTTGATATTCTAATATATAACCGGATAGGTTTGCTTTTTTCATACTTATGCTTAAAATCAAAACTAAAGGAGCTACGATGTCACAAAGTCGTTGCTGTGTCGCATGATTTTCTCTTTCTGTTTAGCAGTTAATTGGTTGGTACTTTGTGAACATAAAAAGTAAAATATTCAGTTCTTTGGAGGAATGGAAAAGTTTTCCATTCAAATTTTTTTTAATGATTTCTCTTTTCACGGCACGTATTAATTTCCAGGAGTGTATTAGAATGTTTTGAATGTTTATCGACGCACTTAAAGCTCTGAATACATGTTAATGAACATTAAATGAGTTTAAAAACACGGAAATTATTTATTCACAAGCTCATCTAGTCCACAGGGGGGAATATATTTATTAGGAATTAGGGGGCAATAAAAAAATATATATATACAACTTTTCCTTAGCTCCCAATTTGTAGACAGACATAAAGTTAATATAAGATTTGGGGAGGGGGGGGGATGTATATGAGGTGCATTTTTTTGTTAAATAATTGTTAAATAGCCTTTTTGATGATTTTCAAATCTTATTTTCTACTTATACATTTTATAATTTTGTTTAAAGTTTTCTATCTCGCCCCCCCCCCCCTTGTACCTTAATTGTGAACAGATTCTTGATTTGTTTATAAAACCTTTAAAAAAGTTTAAAACATTGATGCAAGGGAAATCCAATGAGTAGGGAATAGTTGGCGTAAATATTTATACCTTTTTCTTTTGACGTCTGATCTTTTTAAAGGGACTGCCGACATAATTTTAGATAATTCTCCAACTTTACTTTTATCAATACCATTTAAAATTGAGTTTTATCTGAAATCTCTTAAATTTATTTATTTTTCAGCCCCATGACGTAGGTTGTACTTAAATAATACACGTTACTACGCTTCCAGGGCGCCCCTCTTTGTGGCAATAATATTTTACTGCAGATTTTTTCCTATACATTTTAAAGCAATATATACGTCAGATTTCGCGAATTATTCCGTATGTATTGGTGGATTTTCTAAATATTAGAAAAATATATTAAAGATATTTTGTTGCAACCGACTGCCATAAACCTTTTCTGGAATGAAGTAAAGTTTGGGCCTGGTTGGTTCAGCCGTTTTGATGTTTACTGTAACAACCAATGTACAAGTATATTGTTGATGTTTGACGATTGTTTGTTTAGACGGAGAACCGGTTTGATCGGTTGGATCGACGAAGTAAATTGTTTTCATTGAAGCAACCAAAGCATTCTACTCTTCCCGGTCACAAGGTGAACTTTTTATTTCGGTGTAAGGATATATATATATATCTTTATAAATGAAACAGGTGAAATAATTGTGATAGCTTCTTTCAAAAACTAAAGAATCTTTTATTTTCCGCAACTTACAGAATTTCTTAAAATTGGGACGAGTGTAAAAGAGGGCTGATCATAGTATTGAAACTTTAAAAGTCTAAGTCCATAGATTTAAATTTGTTGTTGATAACCCTCTGTTTGATTTAGATCTTTTGTATGATTTTGATTGCTTTTGTTATCAATTAAAAACTTAATTTACTGCCGTGGCTTGCAAAAAAGCCCCCTGTACGCATAAGTTAGTTTAAACCTAATCTATACTGAGTGCGTAGTTTCAAGGACAAATATTAAGCGTATCAATATATTATCAATTTGACGAGTAGACTCTTATCTTAATATTTTACATGTTGTGCTGACCGACGGATGGAAATCAAGGGTCTGCTAACTTTAAAAACAAACATTTTTCATAAAATTGAATGTTGAGCAATAAGCGATTTTTGGTAGAGAAACTGAAACTGATTTTTTTAAATATGGCTTGCATTATAAAGCCATTTTCACTTTTCTTAGTCTTAGTAAAAAAAATAACTACCAAAAGCTCTTCATTAACGGTGTTGGTGGGGGTTAATTCGTCGTTTTTAACTTGCTCATTGATGAGTAGGTTACTTTATTTTGCCCGGAAGTTGTTTTCACAACTTTTACCCTTTTACAAACACAAACATAAATAAACTAACAAACTATGGCAAACTCAGCTGGAAACAAAAACATAAATTCGACATTCCTTTTGTAATATGTTTTGGTAAAAACGTTAATTTTGATCTTTCTCCGAGGTTTTCTTTCTTTAAAATATTCTAAGCAACATAAGGATTAAAAGATTGAATAACTGGATGTAGAGGGAGGNATTTAACTGAGAAAATAGGACATCGTCACGGAATTTGATTTCATGTTTTAAACAGGTCATTTACAAAATATATCTAAAATATTTTAACTGCGTAGGAATTTTCTTTAAAATGAGGTTTCTGAAATGTCAGCTCGCATTTATATATTGATTTTAAGATTCTACAATTCATTAAAATTTTTATGATTATCACTCGAAGCACAGAATTTATGAGAGTTTGGGAAATAAATGTGCACATAGATAGATTTTTACAAGCGTTCTAATGTAATTGTCAGGGGTTGACCTGACATGGAAAAATCTCTTGTGCATAAAGTCATATTTTTTTTGCGTCCTCATTAGTGGGTCCCCGTTCGTGTGTCCTCTGCACTTAATAATATTTTTAAATATAAATATTTATATCCGCATCCAAGGGGCAAAATTCAAACCAAAACTGTAACAAAAAACTCTTTTTTCCTCCTAAATCTAAACTGATGAAAAAATAGAGATGATTAAAAAATTTCTTTAATTCATCATTAAAAAAGCGAAAAAAGGAAGAAAAGTAGTTTAAAAATTCTTTGTTGAAAAAATCAGTTATTAAAAAGAAATGTTCACGATCTGGAATCATAATAAAATGTATCTATCTATCTATCTAAATATAAATAAAAGACTCATGTGTACAGGATAAGATTGAGAGGTTAAACTCCGGCAGTTTCACTGGAACAGACTCTTCTCCGCGTAAAGTTCTCTTGGAACAATTAAGTAAAACTTTGCCAGCTGATGACGTTCTTCCTGAACAGGTATAATCAATCAATCATTCAATCTATCTATCAGTCAATCGACATTCTGATGGTTGTTTAAAAACAAGATCACATAAGCAATACCCAGTAATAAAGCATGAATGCTTTTATTTTTTAAATTCATAATTTTTCACTATTTTAATTTACATTTTTCTAGATTATTCTTGCCAATACTGGAGACCCACAGGCCTCTCATCTAGTCTCTAAACTTGCTGAAACAGGATTAAAGGTACAGGATGATTAAAAGTAAAAGTACAGAAGGGATTTAAGTTAAAGGAGTTAAATTTTTGGATGGATTAAAGTTGTAGGATTGATTAAAGCTGATAGAAGGATTAACAGTGTTAGATAGATTAACGGTGTTGGGTATTAGATTGATTAAAATTGTTGAAGTATTAAAGGGTTAAGAGGGATTAAAGGTACATGAGGAATTACAGATACATGAGGGATTAAAGGTGTTGGAAAGGATTAAAGGTACAGAAGGAATCATGCACAGGTGCAGGAGTGAGAAAATGTACAGAAGGAGCTTGAGGTTTTAAAAGTATTATACGTATAGAAGGAATAAAGGTAAAAGAAGCTTGACCTGGAATATAAATGTATATATTTTTATATAATTTTAGATTAATATCATGTACAAATAATCTGTACAGCTGGGCTTGAAATATAAATATTTTATGTATATGTTATCCTTACAGCTGGACCTGAAATATACATGTATTATATTATATGATCTTACTGCAGGGGTATATATAAATATATATTATATTATGTACAGGTGATCTGTACAGCTGGACCTGAAATTTATATGTAGTATGTACAGGTTAACTGTACAGCTGGACCTTAAATATATATATGTACTATGCATATGTGATCTGTACAGCTGGACCTGAAATATATATGTGCTATAAACAGGTGATCTGAGGCCGAATTTAAAGAATTTGAGCCGCACTTTAAATCTAAGCCGCCGGTCAAATTTTTTGGTTCCACTTAAATTTGTATTCAATTTTTCAAAATTTAAGACGGCCCTCAATTGAATCCGGTTTTTGGAGGATTTTAGACGCGCCTTAAATTTAATAAATTTGGACACTGTACAGCTGGACCTATTATATATAAATATTATGTACAGGTGATTTGTACAGCTGGACCTGCTGATGTACGGGCTACTCTAACCTGTCTTGTCACAAGAATACAGAAATTTTGTAATACAAACATTAACCCACCAAATATCATCAGGGTCGGACTTATAGGTTAGTTTATATAGTTTTACTTGGAGTTTAGTTCATGGAAAACTGGAAAAAGGGAACTTAAAAGAAGCTTACAATTGTAATGTAAATGTAAAAAGTAAGTTAAAATTTAAAAAGGTGATAGAAACGAAATGTGCAGAACACATAAGTCAAATGTATTTAAAAAGTAAAAAGTGAAAACTGAAAACGGAAAAAGCTCAAAGAAAGCTTAAGTTAAATATCCAAATAGAAAGCGGAGTCTTCTTAAGAAAAAAAAATTTGAGAAAAAAAAGAGTCATGGGATAAATGAATAAAAATTTCGAATTTGATTGTTTATTAAAAGTGAAAACTTAAAACTGAGTAGAAATCGTTTCAATAAAATTGTTTTGTTTAGGTTCAGATGCTTTCTTGAATTCTATGCTCCGACCCTATGTCGAATTATTCTCCAGTAAACCTCCAGACTAATTTTTCGCGTTCAAATATATAATACTAAATTTTTCCAAGATGTTAAAAACTTTTTTTTAACGTTAATCAAATAATGTTTCTCTTGAATATAAATAAGGTTAGTGCGCTAATTTTTGTAAAATATAGAATATAAAAATCAAATATTTACTTAATATTAATTAAGTAGTGTTCTAAGCTTTTAAACGTTATGTACTGTTATTAAAACTTGGCTTTTCGGCGCTTTGCGTCCCCTTTCCTGTAAATAATTTAAGCTTTTAACCGCTGCTTTGATCATTCTCGCAGTTTGTCGGGTTTTTATTCGAATTTGCGCATTTTCAAAAAAAAAATTTTATTTTTGATGGTCCATATATCTTACCTGGGGTCATATGTGGTCGCACACATAATCTGGGCCTAGTCGGTTCGGCCGTTTTTAAATTTATTGGATACAAACAAACAGACACCAAGACAAGCAAAGTATATATATTTAAATACATATCCTTGGTTCCACTTTAACAGTCTCGATAAGGTATACATTATATATGAATATCATCATTCACCCATAAGTCTTCATCGTGAAGGAAAATAATCTATTTTTATGAAATATATATCATCCTAATGGTGTGCTCAACACTATATTTAACATTTTTTAAATATAATATATTGTATTTCTTAGAAAACATAAACGAAGAATATTGATTATAGATTACAATGTATCGTTTATGTTATTGATCAAACCAAATCAAATTGTAATCTTTCTGGAAATCTTTATTATCCGATTAATTTGATATTTTTTTTCGGCTATATTTATGGTGAACAATATATTAATGTTGAACAATGAATCTTTTCAGAACATCTACCCCCCCATCCCCCTCAACTCACCTCATCTCTTTTCTAGAAATACTTTTTCCTAAAACTGTTTTATTGGTAAAATAAAGAAACACTCTGGTTGAGGGGTGTGGAATTAAACTTTAAATAAATAAATGAATATACCTGTTTTTATTAAATATATACTTTGCTTTTCTGTCTGTCTGTTTGTTTGTTCGTATCCAATAAACTTCAAAACGGCTGAACCGATCGGGACCAAATTTTGTGTGGAGAATCACATGACCCCAGGGAAGGTTTATGGATGATCGAATTTTTAAAAATGTGCCTCTAACAATTGTTTTGAAATACACGAATTTTTTTTTAATCCGCGAATTTTTTTATAATTTTACACTGAACAAAAAGAGAAAATGAAAACAATGAAAACAGAAGATGGGGCCCTGTAAGCCAAGTATATATACCTATCTGGCCCTAATTTTTTGTGGGACCTCGCGTGACCCCAGGGAAGGTTTATGGATGATCGATTTTTTAAAAATCTGCCTCTAACAAAATTCGATTTTTGAAAATTTGGAGAATTCACGAAATTTTTTTTTATAAAATCCGCGAAATTTTGTTTTGTTTTTGTTTTACAATGTGTATAAAGAGAAACGGTGGGAATAAACATGTTTACCCGGGGCAAAGCTAGTTCCTGATAAACCTGTTGAAGAATAATTATCTCCAGGTTCTTCATTATACCCCTGGGAGTGAACACTGTAGCTAAGGTTAGCACTAAATAATTTAGAATATATTTTGTTTTGTTTTTCTCAAACTCCAGTATATGTAATAGATTCAACATCTACTCGACAAATTTTGAAAAATAGATCATACATTAGTTTTATTTTGTTGACTTGAGTTTTAAAAATTGTTGATTTTATATATTAAATTCTGTAAATCTGAACATCATTATTAATATTTAGAATTAAAATATTTATTATTGCTTCTATCTTCTAAATACCAGGGGTGTATATTTTATTTTCTCGAAAAATCTTTTTTCTTTCCCCACCCCGTTTTGAAATTTATTTTCCCCGTAGTTATGAGCATTGAATTGGGGAAAATCAATGACGTTTATGGGGAAATCGATAATTTTTTTGGTAAAAAGTATTCAAAATAATGAAAAAAAAGCTGTCATTTGATATCCAATTTTTTCGTATTTTCCCCTAAATTCATCTAAAGATCATTTCCCCTCCCTCCCCCTAGGGGTGGTAGCTAATGGTGGTAAAAATATACACCCGTCTTGAAGTTCAGATGTTGATAAAAAAAATGTAATATATTTGTAACTTCTATTTTTGAATTTTGAAATACTGTTTCATGTTCAGAGTTTAGCTGCTCGGTGTCCTGTTTACTGTCAACTGTTCCAGGATGAATCTTGGAGAGATCTTCTTGATAAGGTAACGCGCCGTACTTTCCCCTTCCATCTATCATTCTGTTAACTCATTTTTCTCCACTTCCTTCCCCCTCCTTGTTATGTAAGTCTCAATATCTTTTCATTATTCCTACTTCTTTTCCCAACCTTTTGGCCTTGAACTACTTCCTTACCTTAGCTTCTTCCCGCTTCTTGTAAATTAATATTTAATTTCTTCCTCAACATCTCCACGCCCACCCTTCCCCTCCCTATAATTCTCCTCCCATTTATCTTTCTTTTAACTCATTTTCCACCTATTCCTTGTAAGCCCAAGACCACTTCCTTTTTCTTCCTCATTTCCCAATCTTTTGACCTTATACAACTTTCTTACATTATTTTCTTAAAACTTCTTTCTTCTCCTTGTAAATTTACATTTTTTCTTCACTATCCCTTCCCCTCCCCCCTTTCCTTTCAGTCCTCCCTTTATCTTTCCGAGACTGAAGTAATAAAATCAGTATAAACTTAGCTCTTTCCATTTATTCTCTCTTCTCTACATGTTTTCCTTCAGTCATCTTATTCATCCTTTGATGTTTAAACAATCATTTAGTTAATTGATTGGTTGATTGATTCGTTAATTGATTTGTGATTTATTGATAATTTATTGATTAAATTGATTGATTGATTGATTGTAGGCTGAGCCAAGTAAGCATGATGTAGCTGAACTGGTATCAAGAGTTGAGCAGTATTTGAAGACAGGTGAAATATTATTTTTGGGGTTTAATACATATACTGTAATGAACTAACTAAACAACAAAAATTTAGTTAGCTTGAATCATGCTTTGAGACTTGTATAAATTTGTTCAAGCTCTAGCTTATTTTTTAACATTCACACTTTGTTTAGGTTACACCACTCAGCTAACCATAGCTGAAGCAATGGTAACATACAAAGATAAATCTTCGGAAGAGGAATCTTGTCAAGTTTTCGTCCCGTTTGTCTCCGACGTGAGACTCTGGACAGGAACAGAACCGGAGACAGAAGACATCCAACCTCTGTCCTTGTCCTTCGGACACGGAGCTAACTCCTTCCTAGACCGGAGTAGGACAGACCGTCCTAGTCCCCCAAGCTCACCCAACATATCAAAGTATAGTTTCGACTCAGTTTCCAAGTCCGAGGACCTGATGGAGCTTCAGCTCGACTACTGGATCTATGACAAGTTCCAAGGAAAGCTCGACACCAGTGATCGTAAGTCAGAATCTGACAAGAAAAAACAGGATCCAAAATCTTCTATTCGAACCAACTTCCGGGGTCTTCTTATTAGTCATCTGTCCTCCTCTTCTCTGCTGGCACATTCCTCCGACTACCATTACTTCAACATGACATACACAACTAAGGAGAAGAGACCGAAGGCGGTGCTCAAGATAGGAAAGAAGAAGGAGAAAGGCGACTCGGATACAAAGACGACCACCATTGATGGAATCAGTAGGTTGATCTGTATGGCAAAATCAAGTCATCCTTTGAAGGTAAAAGAAAACTTGAAAAGGTGGTGGTGTACAAAATTATGTTTGTAAGGGGGAGGGAGTAAACTGTGAAAAGAAAATACCTGAAGAGACAAAAGTTGTAATTTCAAATGACCCTCCATTCTCAACGGTACGTACCCTTATCTTTTATATGATCAATAATGTGGGGCTATCGTCGTATTTCTAGCTTGGAAAGTGGTTTATTCTCAAGTCTTAATTGTTTCTGTTGTAATTAATCCGTTTATCACTATTTCAGATAATTACCATAATTGAAATAATTTTTTAAAGGAAAATAACGGATAATTAATTAACTTTTGATCAGACAAAGCTTGTAAGGGTACCGTTGTGAATCGGTCATGTACACTACAAATGATGTTTATGATTAGGTTTATATCGACGGACAAGATTGGACAGGAGTCAAGTTTTTCCAGTTAAGTTCACACTGGCAGACTCACATCAAACACTTTCCAGTAGCGGTGGGTACTTCATCAGCATCATTAGAGTAGTACTCAAGTACAACATGGAGTAGGAGTACCTACAGGAGTATCACTGGAGTGGACAAGAACAACTCCATCTTGCCAAACACTACTTCTGTCCTACTCTCGATATTATTATCAATCTCAACCAGAACCGGAATCAAAATTTAACTTTCAACATTTGTAGAATAGTTTTCAGACCTCCTGGCGGATTTTTTTTTCAATATGAGCTCTTTCAACCTCAGACGGTATTTTTTCGTCTGAAACCTCTTTCAAGGAATGTTTTAAATCGGACAGTGTAGCCAGTATTTGAGCTCATTAAGTCATTTTTTCAAATGAGCTTTAGATTAAGTACTAAAAGTCAACCAAGTGCATATATTTGTGTTCCTAAATTATAAAAATGAATTATTATGAAATATCAAGGTCCCTATAAGTGTTCTCTACTTATGCTTATATATTTATTCTGTACCAGACCAAGTATGGGGCAGAACTTTAATTAATTTAAAACATCTTTCTGAAACTTGTAATAGGTTTGCCGAAACGTGATATTTGATTTGACGAAATGTTCAACAAATCCTGAGTTATTGTTCTTGTTGTCTTCCAGTTACATATATTACCATAGTATTTTTATTATTTACCCATAGATTACAATAAGTTACCACATCTGCTTAGGCTTGTCAACAATTTCCAGTTGTCAGCTTTTCTAAACCATCTTAGCAGAATTGTATGTTAAATTTTTGGCGTGATTAAGTCAACCAACTTTCATCATCCCTTTTCCTGGTTTTCTGTCTCATTTTTACATGAGGTTGCTTGGGACCAACGAGGTTTGTGCATTTTGAATAAAAATGTTTAAAATATTTAATGCTTATTATAAATTGGTTGGTTTAATATGTACATTCTTGATAATTGGGTGAACTCAGTAGATCCATTCCTCAACAGTTTTTTGAGCTTTAATCTATTTAGAATTAACAATGCATCGCTTGATCTTGTAAACCGTCAATAGTAATAAAATAGACAATGCAGAACTAGGTTTTATAAACACTTGATTTATAACTACTTTAAGTGTTCACTTTAGATATGGCATTTTCTTATATCAGTTCTTAAGCTTTCCAAACTCTGATCTTTTCTAAAAAATATTCAATAAAGTCTCAAATGTGTGATTATTCTATGTACAGAAACCCTGGTTTACATAACAATCCAAAGTATTAAGTGTGAATTCATAACATTTTACACAGTAAATTGAATAAATTGACGTTAACTTGACGATACAGCATAATGGCGAAAACTTTTTTCCAATGTGTAGAATTTGTTTAATTTCCAATCCACGCTAGTATTGGGTATTTAAATAGAAGTAAAATGTTAAATATATGATATTTAAAATTTCATAATTTTCCATATTATAAGTTATAATTGTATGTGAGCTATAAAAAATTTAATAATTTAGAAATCTGCTGCATTGTTAACCTAAGATTTCTTAGATTTTTTAGATTTCTTAAATTTCTGTAGTTGTCCAACAAAAAGATTATAAATTTCAAACCTAAAATTTATAAATGAAGATTAACGTAAGTTATATTTTTTTCATATAAACACAAAACATTAAGTGTTTTTTGGATATTTGAATAGGCCACGTTTTTTAATTGTCTTTATGTCAAGTTAAAAATCTCAGCATCACTTCTAAATTTCTGTATTTCTGTAAATTTCTTCTTAATTACTTCATTCCCGGCAGTTACCCTCAGTTCTTCTCTAAATGTTATTTCGTTGAACTGTTTTCAAGCATCTTGTTGTTAGATGATAGCTGTAACATGTAGATAGTAAATAAGAGAAATCTGATCAAACATCTGTTCCTCATCAACATGGGAATAGTGACAGTTTACACAATTTAGCTTCACACTTTTTTAGACAAATATTTGTAACTTTGAGAAAATGAAAATTATCTTCTGATCAGCGTCAATTCATCTCTATGTTTATTGGGAACCTCATTTTGAACTTGCCAATGTAAATGAAGAAATTACTGATGGCATTGGAAGAGTATTTACCAGCTTTTTCAAGTCTTTCAGAGAGTATTAATCTGACCTATTCAATCATGCTCAGTCACGTCTTCATGTGGAGTGGAAAAATGTATTTTTAATTCTACAGTTTAATGTTGAGGCTTTCTATGGATTTAATACCCTTACCCCCCAACAAAGGTTAGCCCAGTGATTGATATCTCCAGCTTTTTCGCTTTAAAGTGCTATTTCTAGCAAACCTGAAATCTCAATTTCTTGTTTTAGTTGTTAAAAAATACAAGAGGACTTAGCAGCCATTTTCTTATGTTATGAAAATCCGCAATGTGTATGAAAAATTTGGTCGTAAAGACAACTTTGAATTTGCGGATTTTCGCTATGTTTTAAATGGAGTGTAAATTTGAAATTTGTAAAAAATAGGATTAGTTTTTATATCTCCGCTTTGTACCAGAACATATATTTATGTCCCTGTTTCTGATTATAGGTTGATACAGCTTAATAACATTTATCCAGTCTGCATTTTTACCCTTTTCTGGACTTAATAAATATTCAAATTTTAAACCAAAGAATTATGTCTGCCATTTGTAATTAAGCAATCCCCCAACTTCAAACCTCGTATTTAATATATTGATGATCAGTATAAAATAATAAACAACTTCAATTCTCGCCACCACCATCAGGGAATTTAATGTGTTTGCTTCATATTTCAGATAAAAATGCCTGTACAGTGTACTGCTGATTGTGGCAAGAAGGCTATTCTCAAGCGACCTAAGACTGGAGATGCACTCTGTAAAGATTGTTTTTACTTTGCTTTCGAAACCGAGATTCACTTTACCATTGTAAAAGGGAAACTTTTCAAAAAAGGTAATGGTATTGAAGCATACGGTTCATATTCTTAAAACTAATTTATAAGGTTACTCACAAAGGATGAGACTTGAGAGATGATTGTACGGAAATCATTCTGTTATTATTTAAACATTCTTGGTTCCTTTCACTTGTAAACTTGTTTCTTTCTTGTCCAATCATTGTGTTGACCATTAATAACTTCATTTAGGGATGAAGATCTTAAACAAACATCCAGATGGTCATTTTTTTACGAGTTTTATGTTATTAAAGTCACATCCTTCGTGGGGTAACACTGTATATACAGGATGTCCTAAAAAGCTCTCTAAGGTATACGCAGACTTTCATAATGGTTCGATTCTCACATTCTTTGACATTTTCAAAATCTGTTCTACTTGTCCGATTAATGGGTACCAATAAGCGGTCTGTAATGTACTAAAATAAAGGAAATGTTGACGTTCAAATTGGCAATTTTGGCTTTGTTTGGAAATTGAATTCGAAAACCCCTACATTTTTTAAGATGCATTTCAGAACTAGCTCTTTTTGAAAAAGTGCTAATCGAACCATAGTTAAAGCCTTAGTACTTTAGAGGTCGTTTTTTTGAAAGTCTTGTATTTTAGACTTAATTTAAATGAATATTTGCCTTGTCTGTAAAATTATTCTTAATCGAACCTTTTTTTTACTCTTTCGACCAAACAATTGCCCAATGTTTTTTTTGAAAACCATTCAAAATTGTGCCTTCAAAGAAATTTTTAAATTTTTTACATAAACTCTGGACATTTCCGAAATCTTATCTTTTTTGTTTGTTTTGATAATGAATTAACATGATAAATGGTGTATAGCTTGTATTTGAATTAAAAATTAACTACTTGTACACATGACATAAAAATTTTTCTACGTTTATATTGTTAAAGGTGATTATGTTGCTATTGGTGCATCTGGTGGCAAGGATTCTACTGTACTAGCCTACATAATGAAAACTTTAAATCAGAAATATAATTATGGTCTCAAGCTAGTGCTACTTTCAATAGGTAATATAAAAAGAAACCTTAATCAAAAGATAGGCAGACAAATTATTCACGATTTCACTAGTTTCTAGATTATGGTAGATAATGAAAATGTACGATATTAATGTTTTATTTTAATTTCTTTTTTTACTTTGGAATCTTTGATTTAAAAAGGTTAAAAAATTACAATTCAAACATTTTTTTCTTGTTTAAGATGAGGGAATAACTGGATACAGAGATGATTCCCTGGAGACTGTAAAGCGGAATAGAGATCAGTATGGAATCCCTTTAAAGATTCTCTCCTATGATGATCTTTATGGTTGGACCATGGATAAGATAGGTATACTCATTGTTCGTTGCACAACTTAATAATTTTGTTGTTATTTTTATTGAAATTTATTGATAATAATTTTACCAGTTTCTATCATCATTACTTTTTTCACATAATTATTTTTAAATTTTAAATTTTTTGTACAATATTCTTTAAATAGTTATGTGATAGCAGCAAGATACAAATATTTTGACATTTCAATATTTCTTTTTCTTCATTTTCTTCTTGTCCGTACATCTTTCAATCATATTTCGGCTGATTTTGAAAAAAAAATTTAAGGATATCATTGCAATGCGCACAGAACTAGATGTTGTTGACTTTTGCCACCGTTTTTGCTAAATATTCCCTGCTTTCTGTCCAGAAAAAAATTATTCTTGATTTGGTATTTTCACTTGAAGTCTGGGGTGTGGAGAGATGAAGTCCCTAAAAGCCTGATTTGATTTGATTTTCTGTTGAGAAATTATAAAATATTTTTGTTTAGTTTCTCAGGTTGGACTGAAGAACAATTGCACATTTTGTGGAGTATTCAGAAGACAAGCTCTGGACAGAGGAGCTATGCAGGTAAATTTTTAAATAAATATAATTTAATCTGTTCCATAGTTTTATTTAAAAATGAATTTTTATTTCATGTTGTACTGTTGTAAAAAAAAATTTGTAACGTTCATATTTGAAATAAAAGAAGAAATATTGTTTCGTTTTTGTATCATTAGCTTTTCTATATTTGTTTTTGGAACATATCAGGGATATGTTTTTTATTATTATTCCCCTTGGATCTTAGTCTAGTCCCGTGTTTAGTTAGAGGTAGACAAGATTGTGACCGGACATAATGCAGATGATATCGCCGAGACGGTCATCATGAATATTCTTAGGTAAAAGGATTTCTTGTGATGAAAATATTTGTATTCTTCGTATATTTAAAGGGACCTTTCGACGTAATTTCTTGTGGCCCTTTATTTAAGGAGCTACGTTTCTGATTCACAACGTTACCCTTAAACCCTGATCTAAGTAAGAATTAGGAAGATATTGCCGTTTAGAGATAAATTTTGTCACTTTGCTTCTTTGTCTTTACTGCATAAATCCGCTTGTCACTTATTTGATTTGATAGATAACCTGTAAATGTAATTGTCAATTGTCAAATTTTGTTGAAGAACAAGTTTTTTAGATCTATAGTTTAAAGAGTACCGTTGTGAATCAGAGCATTTAAGTATCTAACTGGAGATCACTTTAAATTACATGACCAGTCCCTGAAAGGTGTTCTATATTTCGAGAGTGTGTGTCCGATTCAAAACAGTACTCTTTAAACCTTTATCCTCTTTTTTTCTACTGAAACACTTGAATTTGTTGATATTTTTCTTTGCAAGATGTTAACAGTAAAATTACGCTTACAGCCACTTTAAACTAAATTATTTTATTTAAAGAGGCGATATTGCCAGACTTCAGAGGTGTACTGCAATAACAACGGGATCAGAGGTAAACAAATTTTAGAAATAAGGTGAACTTGGGCATATTTTTTTAATTGAAATGCTACTAAATTTAAAAGTAAAAAAATACTAAATTGTGTAAATATTTTAAAAGATAATAATGTCTTATTTTTTTTCGATAAAAGTAGCGGATTTGAAGAAAAAAATATTATTCTTTCTTTTTTTATGTGCAGGGAGCTATACCCCGTTGCAAGCCGTTCAAATACACATACGAGAAGGAAATAGTAATGTATGCATACTTCAAGAAGTTGGACTATTTCAGGTAAATTATTTTTTGACGATTGGTTGATTGATTTACGATTTTAAGATTAATTGGTCCGTTAGTATTTTGCTATATTTTGCATAATATTTATGCAAAAAACATTTGATTATTTTTACTAATTCAGAAAGCATTGTATTACGAACGTATTATTATAATATTAATATTAATAATATTTTAGTACGGAGTGTATTTACAGTCCGAATGCTTACCGAGGCTATGCTAGATCTTACATTAAGGAACCATCATAAAACGTGTCAATATTGAAAACTTCTTAGTTTTAAGCCTATTTTACACACAAAATCTTACTTTTTTCCAGGAAAACAGACATATTGCACCACAAATACCTAACAGTCTAATATTGTTCTCTATGATGTCAGTTATCACAGGAATTTTTTTTATCTAGGTCAATGGTTACTGGTCGTACAAGGCCCATGCAGATCGCAAAAATTCTTTAAATAGTTGTGTGATAGCAGCAAGATACAAATATTTTGACATTTCAATATTTCTTTTTCTTCATTTTCTTCTTGTCCGTACATCTTTCAATCATATTTCGGCTGACTAATATTGTTCTCTATGATGTCAGTTATCACAGGAATTTTTTTTATCTAGGTCAATGGTTACTGGTCGTACAAGGCCCATGCAGATCGCAAAAAAGGATACATAGCTCAAAAAAAAAAATTTTTTTTGAATTTATCATGTCATACACCATTTTCTTCGTAATTGTCTAAAAAGATTAACTCCATTAAAATTTTTGAAAAATTTCAAAAATTGACTGAGTTGGGTTCAAAAAACCTCCATAAAATGTACTTTACCTAAAAAAGCATTTTTGACGAGGTTTTGTTTGGCCTAACTCAGTCAATTTTTGAAATTTTTTAAAAAGTTCAATATATTTGCTCAACCACTTATTACCATTGACCTTGATAAAAAAAAATCCTATGATAACTGACATCAAAGAGAACAATATTAGACTGTAATTCTTAAAAAATATACAACCCTGAAAAATTAAAAGTCATCATTTAAAAATGTCTCACTTTCTTTATGGCCAATGGCCATATCCCATTTTCTATTAGTTCACTGTGGGTTTGAAATGTGAGAAGTAGGACATTTAATTTGATGTAAATTGGGTTTTTTGGTCTAAAAAAAACATTTCTAACCTTCGCAAAGCTAGAAAAAAAATGCATCTTATTCCAGCTTTTTATGATTAGGATGGATTTATAGGAAGTGGAGAAAATTCGTCCATCTGCCATTATTGATATTATTCATTCTGGAGAACAATTAAATGTTAAAGAACAGGTAAAAATTTCACTTCAATACATGAAGGTTACCCTGAAAGGATGAGAGTTCAAATACGACTGTACGGAACGTATACTGTCTGCTTCCTTATATTCATGATCCCCATGCAACTATGAACTTATATCTATCTTATCCCAATAGTAAAAAAGCCATACAATTAATATATTTAAGCTGAAGAATTGAAGATCTTATTCGACATTGGAATCTTCCTGTTTAAAGTGTTTTAGGTCGTCTTTACAACCTCTTACTTTGTGGCTAATCCTGAATAATATATATTAAATATATTAAATCAGAGCGTAGGAATATGTATTTGTGTTTGTTTTGGCATGTAGCCTTAAGTCGGCAAACCTGAAACATATTATTTTACTTAAATTAAATATTGTAACATTATTAATACCTATCAGCAAAACCGGCAATTTACAACTTTTAATTGGGACAATAATTTTTTATCTATGAAAAAGTTCATTGTTTTTTACCAATACGCACTACACAGGTGAAATCTAGAATGCCTACGCAAGGGACTTGCAAGGAGTGTGGATATATCTCCAGCCAGGATATTTGTAAAGCTTGCGTCATGCTAGCAGGTTAGTTGCTTAAATTGCGTCATGCTAGCAGGTTAGTTGGTTAAATGCGTCATGCTAGCAGGGTAGTTAGTTAAATGCGTCATGCTAGCAGGTTAGTTACTTTAATGCGTCATGCCTGCAGGTTATTTGATAAATGTTGCATGTCATCCTAGCAGGATAGTTACTTAAATGCGTCTTGCAAGCAGGTTAGTTACTGTCATGCGTCATGCTAGCAGGTTAGCTAATTAAATGCGTTATGCTAGCAAGTTTTTTACTTAAATGCGTCATTCTGTCGGGTTAGTTACTAAAATGCATCATTCTAGCAGGTTAGCTACTGTCATGCGCATTCTAACAGGTTAATTACTTTAATGCATGCGTCACGTAATGCCAACAGGTTAGTCACTATAATGTATACAGCTAGCAGTTTAATTCTGAAATGCCTCACGTCATACTAGCAGGCTAGTTAGTAAAATGCATCACATTATGCTAGAAGGTTTTCATTTTTAAGTTTTTTTTATCGAAATCTAAAAATCATTTAAATAGTTGCCTTTGGTGAGCAGGTTGGGTAAGTTAAAGGGAAAAGTTGGTTAGTTAGGTAAATAATGTGCCCAAAGGTAGCAAAACTGCTTTTTTGAGGGAGGCAATGCGTTTTAGAAATGTAACAACTCGCGTTTTATTAATTACAATTTTCTTTTTTATATTTTAACACTTGTAGGTTTGAATAAAGGATTGCCTCAGCTTGGAATAGGAAAATCCAGTAAACATAAAAAACCACTTCAAATAATACTAGGTATTTTTGACATAATTTCTGCTCTCTGTAATGCTTACTTCTATTATCTAATTGAATGATATAAATCACGATTTTTAACTTCATTTCTATTTTGTGCCTGTTCATAAGAAAAAAAATTTACAGCTTTAAATTTTCAATCAGTAATAATGACAAACTCAAATTCAAACTCTTAAATGACAAACTCCTGAAAAAAAAACTCCTGACGGTACAAACGCTTTCTCTTGATATCCATAATGAAAGCTTTTTAATTTGGTGGTAAAGGCCTGATTTTAGCTGTCTCTGTACTGTAGGGTACGACGAATAAAGGAGATCCAAGAGGAATTTGATCTGAGATGGAATTTAAAGAATTTGAGCCGCGGTTTAAATCCGCCAAAATCCGGTTTAAATTTAGCGCCAGATTAAATCTTGAAATATTTGATACAATTTAAAGTGGAACCAACCATATTTAAGCCGCGGCTTAAATTAAACCGCCGCTCAAATTCTTTAAATTCGGCCACTGTATAGAGTAATCTGAGATATTATCGCTTTATTCTGGGATTCACAACAAAAAAATTTGGCCTGAGGGTTGATTATTTTTTAAAGATTTACTGTTTTAAACATGTTTTTAATTCAAAATTTAAATCTGTTGCGTCCATTAAAATTATTAATTTTTCATATATTCTAGATGAAAAAACAGCCGAAGAAAACGGAACAGTCGTTAATGCGAGAGAATTAGCTGGGAAAATTCTTGGTTCTTACACTGAACCCATTCCTTCCTAGCTTTATCTGGAGAATTCTTAACAAGATACTTCTGTGATAAAATAAACCTTTTACGTTTGAATTTTTTTCAGAATAAAAAATGGTGTCCGGGGCAGTGGGGGCCGGAGGCCCTGAGGTTACTCAGGTAACTATTTCGGAAATCTTTTTTTTTCTTAAGTTACTGTTTCGTTTTTTAGAGGTGCAAGCTCGGTAAACAACATCAAAACTTTTCTCTGGTCTAAATAGTAAAATTATCTATTCTTTATCTTATAATTCGATTTTTTATGCAATAAAAGCGCAAAGAACGAACAGTATTCAAGACTTATCAAGGAAAAACGACAGTATCTATTTATAGCCTATAACACTCCCCGGCCACCCCTGAGTGTCCACAACAAAATTCAGCCCGTTTGTCCGGCTATGGGCAAAATATATATATACGAATGTCTTGTTTTATTATATAGATATACGTTAGCTATAGCTGGCCAATTGGCTTGATCGAATGGGCTGAAATTTTATTTCACTGGGTACCTCGGGGGGTGACACAGCCTAAATAAAATTTGAATTTTTTAAAATTCCATGGGCATCGCGGGAGTAACAAGTAAATTGAGCTGCGCTGGCCACTTCAGCTAGTGTATATTCGTATATATGTTCCTTATGGCCGGCCAAACGGCTCGACCGAATGGAGCTGAAATTTGTTAATGGAGACTCATGGGTAGCCCCCAGAAAAAAAATTGAATTTTTTTATTATTTATTTTTTTTAAATCGATTTTTTTTCCACGGACAACGCCGGCCCACCAGCCAGTAATAATTAAACGTTTAAGGTTTCCTCAATGCCCGTACCTCCAATGCACTACATAAAGCTGTACACGGATGAAGCTGTACGGAAAGAACAAGTTCCCAGGTTTGAACATATATGTAAAATTTCCATTTACTGATTTGGGTACTGATCAACCTTCTATATATAAATTTGGCTTGTCTGTCTGTTTGTCTGTCTGTTTGTTTGTCTGTATCCAATAAACGTCAAAACGGCTGAACCGATCGGGCCCAAATTCTTTGCGGGACATCACGTGAATACAGGGAAGGTTTACGAATGATAAAATTTTTTTTAAAAAATGAGTTTTTTAATTTTGTAAAAAAAATTAAATTCTTGGAAATCCGCGAAATTTTTTTCTTCTTTGTTTAAAATTTAAACAAAAAGAACATGTTCACAATTTAAATAGAAGATGGCGCGAAGCGCCCTAAAAGCCTAGTTTCATATAAAAACCTTTTCAAGAAGTAAAGCAAAAGTCCATATCTATTTCTTGATTTAGTAAATGCATTTAGATTTTGATATGTGGATAGTAGAGTAGGACGTCCCTAAAACTTGAATTGATTGATAAGCATTGTTTTATGTTTACATTAAAAGCTATGTAATCATCGCCCCCCCCCCCCCCCCCCCCCCGATAACATTTTTTTTCCTAGATATCAACATAGTTTTTAGAATTTTATTCGCTGAATTGTAGAAAATAAATGTTTTTCTGCGTAAAAGTACCCAAAATTTCCAAAAATAACGAGGAGGAAGCCTTTAAAATATATACCACTGTTAACCTATATATTCATCAAATATGTTGTCCTTTCGTTAAAAATGAACTGTACTGCATTGTTCGTATTTACTGAATCGACGATAAAACTGCGGAATGATTGTCATCTTTGTTATTTCTTCTAATGCGGGAACGTAATTTTGTCATTTGTAATTATTTATAACTAATAAATTTTAGAAAAATTAACATATGTTCTACAAGTTTCAAATTACCGAGTAAAAGACGAAGAAAAACGTAAATCATTCAATAGCTTTCTTTTAACTACTGTAAAAAAACATATTTCTTGTTTTGTAATTAGTTTCCCAAACTTGAATATATGGTTTTACTCCATGATCTATCATAATATTGTACAATTAACAGTTAGAACATGATTTGTTTATGTACTAATGTACTGTTTAGACCACCGCCACCAATTCAAGACACGTATAGTATGTTTGGAATACAAATAAACAATGATGACGCAATTATACAAACCTTAGAATCTCAGGTAAAAGATTCATATTATTATATTTTGCATTATTCTTTATCAGAAGTTTTGTATCATAGCCCCATAGAAGAGTAAATGCCCGAACCCTAAAAAATCTAAACTTCTGGGGAGGGGGGTTACTTTCAAAAGAGGGGGGGGGCGATTTTTTTATGATAATATACACCCCTGAACATTTAAAATTACTTTGTTCCGTCAGGGTATAAAGAAGCTGCTACCCAATAAGGATGTTGACAGGAAGAAGGAATTAAGAAAATTAAATCATTCAATAATGCTCAACTTCCTTGACCTCCTAGAGATACTCATTAAGGTTGGTTTTAATTAGTTATAACTGCAGGGTGTCCCACGTCATATTGGATCGTATTAAAGCTTCAAATTGCGATTTGCGGGGCTAAAGATTTGTATGCAGATAATACCAGGTTTTTCGAGTATTATGCGAGTATTTTAGCATATAAGCTTGGAGATAATCTAATATGATAAGGAACGCTCTGTACTTTACAGTATAAAATGAGGGAATTTTACGTTACCAAGGGTTTTCAGGACCAATTTTGCCTACAAACCGTCCAGAGCGCAAAAAGGGATGTTGCAAAAAATTTAATTTATAAAAAAAGTAGTTGTACACAATTTTATCGTCATTTGAGATTAAAATGTGCGAATTTGTTCACGAAAACTTCTCAGAATGTGTGGATATTTCACTTAATTGTCACAACCAATATGGTGGTACGGTTTGATGAAAGCTTAACCCTGACTCCCATGGGATGATGGTTGACCATTTTATTTATTTATTTATTTATTTATTTATGTTGGTTAATGGGCGGTAAAAAATAAAATTTTAAAAACAAATCTGTTGAGAACACTTAATTTTGTAACATGAATTTTAAAATGTAGCACATCAATTCAAAATTAATTTCACATTAGATTGTAATCTTTATTGTTTTTAATCTTAACTCCTCTTCAAGAAGAGCTATTGAGAAGAAAAAATATATTTTAAATTTTTTTATGTGACCAGATGAGTTTGTTTTTCATACTTTTGCATAAAATCAAACTAGAGGAGCTCAGAGGTCAAAAACTTGTAAGTTGAATGAATATAAACTTCTCCTGTTGTCTAGTGGACTGAGGAATGAAGAATTAAATCTGTCGAAAAATAATTCCTGTCGGTTTATATTTTTTTTCCATTTTATCCTTTGTAACAAATTTCAAGGTTAATAAATTTAATACATTTCATCCAGAAATGGAGCTGTCTTGGGGAGACCGCCTGGGTTTCAGAGAGTCTCTAGAAATGGAGCTGTCTTGGGCAGGCCGCCTGGCTTTCAGAGAGTCTCCAGAAATGGAGCTTTCTTGTGCAGATCGCCTGTTTTTCATAGTCACCATAGACGGAGCTGTTTTGGTCAGATCGCCTGGTCTTCAGAGAGTCCATAGACGGAGCTGACTTGGGCGGACCGCCTGGCTTTCAGAGAGTCTCCAGAAACGGAGCTGTTTTGGGCAGATCGCCTAGTATAAGTCTTTTTCCTAAGTTTTGGCAGCTAGTAGCGCTGACCCATATTTCATTGAATGATGGGTTGTCCTTTAATAATAATAATGATTTTTTGATTGTTTGGAACATTTTAATCAAGATCAATTTCGAAATCTTTTTCCAGTCTTTTTTCAACTGCTAATCTTTTTTTCTGTTTATCTATCTATCCATCTATTTATCTATTATTCTAGTGTCCTGAATCTGGTAAGAGAGAGGAAAAGATAGATGATATAAATCTACTGTTTATCCATATGCATCATCTTATTAACGAGTTTAGACCGCACCAGGTGATTATATTTCCTTTCAAACCTTTAGTTCTTTCTTAATGTTTAATTTTTGGTTAACAGCGTATTTGTTTCCTTCCTCCAACTCTCATTTGTTTTCCTATCATTGTTTAATGTTAAGAAGATATAATTTATAATCAATTAAGATAATAGCAATCTGTACAGTGTACATAATTAATTTTGCTTTATTTATATATTATATATATATATTATAGATATTTATTCTGTTCATCTAGGATTAATCGGGGTTGGCATTGTACATTGTACAGTGTACGCTCGTTACACCCAAAAATACTTCTAAAAAAATAATATTTGCCTCCAATAATATAAATTATATACTAGAGCTCTTCGCTTATTTATATATATATTGTTGTTTTTATTCAAAATTATTTGTTAGCTATAGCTGGCCAAAAGGCAAGACCAAATTGGCTGAATTTTTAGGGAACCCATGAGCACGACTTACATAGGCTAAAAAAGTTGACATTTTTTTCAACATTTGATTTTTTTTAGTACAAAACTAATATTTTTCCCGTTAGGATTTTTTAACTGATCAATAAAAGCTAAATATAAACCTAGGCCCGTGAAACCCTCCGTGTTATGCTCATGGTCCAGAAGAGAAGAAGAGTACAGTTTACATCAAGGTAATAACCGATTAAGTATATTCTCTTTCCCCTCCCCCCGCACAAAATTAATTTTATTTAAAATAAGACCAGAGCTGGGAACTCTTGAATAGTGGAAATCGGGATTAATGCTTGATCCACTATTTTTCTTTATCTCGAGATTAAATAATGCTTGTTCAACTTATGTTATTAATCTCCAGATAAATTAACTGTTCGTGATTAAGGATATCCCATTCTAAAGTTTTTAGCTCAGGATATACATTATACATATTTTTTACCATAATCATCTTTATTGTTAAAGAAACTGAAAGTGTGATTCGAAGTTAGCCTCCATGCAAAGATGTCAATGCCTGATTCATGATAGTACCATTGATACCTTAATCGGATTAATAATAATTAATATCTTTTACAGTTATTGTTGTTTTTTAGGTTTGTAAGTATTTATTTCTGATAATTTATATATATATTTTAAGATAAAGAAGATGCGCAAGAAACTAAATAATCTTCATCTACATTTTTAAATTTAAGTTTATTTTAGGTTTAAAGAACAACTGGAGAAGGTGAAAGGAATTATCCAGGAAGCTTTAGAGGCTTTGCCCAGACGAAAAGGTGAACTAAGATTATCAACAAAATATAAAAAAAAAACGATTTGTTTAAGGATATATAATATAATACGTAGGTTATCTAAATATTAAAATGGTATGGTGCGGGAATAAGAATGTTTACCATTTCGGGGTAGAGAGCAAAATATAACTTAGATTAAGTCTACACTAACGGTTTGTTTGTATCTAAAAAATTATGCCAGGTAAAATTTTCAATTATCTGTCACTTTAAAAGTTACAAAACAGGTACACAATACAGTTATGATATCCCAGAACTAAAATTGGATCTGATTTGGATTTTGGAAGCCTGGCTTCCAATAACGAGGGCACATATTGATTCAATGACAACGAGGGGTGAATGGACCATGAAGGACCTTGAGGAGTGGAATTTAGCAACCGCTCAGCTTTAAACAGGTAAGAACGGGTGCAGTTAGTGATTGGCTGTTGCAGGGTACGCATCGTGACTATGATGATTATGTACCCCTCCTCGTAGTAGGTGGCCGGACTGGTACAGGATTTTTCTTACCGGTACGGGTCAGATAGTCCAGCAGGCGGTCTGGGTTGCAGATCTCATCTCTAGCCTGTCTAGACAGTGTTGTTAATTGTTTTTGATCGGTTTTTATAAAAATTTAATATAACTATAAAGATTGTTAAACTGTTTAAATTTGCAATTTCTTTATCATTAAAAAAGTTGTCAAAACGAAAAAAAATGGTTTTTACAACACAAAAAGAAAATGTTTAGAATAACAATTTAAAAACATTTGGTATTGTTTTCCTTTGCCAAATTTTGACATAGAAAGAAATTATAGCCAAAAAACGACCCAAAAAACAACGAAGACACATGCTTATTGTATAGTATATATCGAAGGATTATCTTTTCCGAAGTATCTTAAAGAATCAATATCGATTTTTACAATTATTTTTTTTATTTTTATTTCTATTTGTTTAGATGAGATGTACTCTGACAAGGACAGCAAGGGAGACATTAAGGCAGGGTTGAATGACGGGAAGGAGAGTGAAGGGGAGGAGAAGGATGTGTGTACTAGCCTAGACAGGATTATGTGTGGTATTGTGGATGATACTGACCATGGGAAAGAATCTTAGATAAAACATAAATGAACACTGAATATAGTGATAGTTCTTAAATTCATTTGATGGATAGAAAACTTGATATAAAAGTGAAAAGCAAATTCTATAAGATGATGGAGGGAAAAATGCATTTGAATGAAAATGTTTTTGTTCACGTGATTTGTTTATTTCAGACATGAAATATATCAAGATTGTTCCTTTCGTTTTTTTTTAATTAGCAATTTACCAAATTGTTTGCTTCACATCAAGCTTTCTGTATTAAAATAAGAATAAACCTTTCCTCTTTGTTAGTCTTAGGTTCAACAGGTTCTCTTGTAAATAGGACACGACGGAATTATAAATAGAAGTTCATGAAAATTACGCCAACAGACCCTTAATACGAGAAATCTAATATTTGTGTTAGATAGTTGTGAAATTATACTTTTACTTGTTACCATAAAATTACTCTTATATCTGGAGGTAAATTGGTTTTATGTAGAAAGTGGAAAAATGTCAACTAAGTATGGAACTAACTTGTTGCTCTCTAAACATATTTCTGTCAACTAGTGAGATATGGTAACTAACGCTATGCATAAAAATTTGAAAACGAAAACGTAATAAAACATTTTTTCCTCATTCTGATCCAGAATTTTAAGGAATAATATTTTGAAAAGGATTCAGGATTGGTTTAAAGTTCCGGTGGCCGAATTTAAAGAATTTGAGCGGCGGTTTAAATTTAAGCCGCAGTTTAAAAATGGTTGGTTCCACTTAAAATTGTATCAAATGTTTCAAGATTTAAGCCGGCACTTAATTTAAACCGGGTTTTGGCGGATTTAAACCGCGGCTTAAATTCTTTAAATTCCATCTCCGGAGGTTTTTTTTCATCTTACATCTGATAAAAAACCGTTAGAGTAATTGGATTAACAATTTTTGTTCAGTTACAATCTTCACTTTTGTGGTTGCAGAAATATATTGAAAATTGAATATTAATATTTTTTATCAATATCCATATACACGCCCCCTTATATGATAAGTGGCTGTTATGTAAACCAAAATAACTGTACTGGACATTGGAAAAGATACTTTTTAAACACAATAATAAAGCAAACATTTTTAAATACAATAATAAAACAAACATTTTTAAATACAATAGTAAAAAAAACATTTTTAAATACAGTAATAAAACAAACATTTTTTGGGTTAAAGAGGTATAAACAAATCAATGTATTGTTTAGTGATGCCTATAAAACTCTTTTAATAGGATGACGGATATCAGACTCAAATTCTGCTTTTAAAAAGTTGAATGAAAAAAATAGACAATTTTGCAGTTTACACAGATCCATTTTATTGTATTGTATTTTCAATCTACTAGTATTAATGGTATTTGCTTTATAACTAGAATCTGTGATTAGCGGTCTGGCAATAACGTCCGTTGTAGATTGTTGATTTGCGCGTTTTTCGTTAATGTTAACGGCATAAATAATGTCGATTAAAAATCTTTTTGTAGACTCTATTGAAATTAGCAAAAATACAACTCGTAAGACCTCACTTCATAATTGATTTAGTATATAGTCACTTCAATTTTGGGGTGTGGGTGTAGGACGTCCCAAAAAGAATGATTTGATTTGATTTTAATAGCATAACGTTATTTCTCTATTCCAGTGTGTTATGGGTCCCACTAAATATATAGGGACTAACTTACTCACAAAGAAATAAACAAGATTTTTTGAAACACTAGATAAATTTGCAAGGGATGAAACACAACTTAGTCATCCTATCCAAGCTGAGAACTTTACCCGGTCTTAGCGTCTACCCAAGGAAAGCTAGGGTTTTGAATGGCCTTAGATTTAGTAAAACCTAACCGCCTTGGGGTTTTCGCTCTTTGAGGCTCTGGTCTTCAAAAGCTGATGGTCGTAAATTTCGGAAAACTATAACATCTGTATATTTCAAATCTTGGAAACTGTTTGCAGTGTCAAGGTATGAAATAAACACATGAAAATAATGTAACTACGTTAAGTTTGAAATTCGGAATTTACATCTCGTTGTCACAGCTGTTCTGTCTGCTGAAGAGAGAAATCTATCTAAGCAGTCTCGCATTGGTGATATTAGAACCAATCCTGACTTGGGTTTTAGTCTTTCAATAGACCGGGCACACTGCTTTAAATGAACCATCAGGTTTCAAGTCAAAACATCTATTTTTTCTTCAGAATATATTAATATGCAGGCTTCAGAGTTATAATCTAAATTTTCAGAAAATGCCACCTAGGGAATTTTAATTAAATCCATTTTAAAGAAAAGTCAAGTGCATTTTTAAGTCTAAACTAAATCGTAACTGTAGGTTCAAAGATTAATCAAGATCATTCTGTGTTTTTTGTGATATTTTTAATTTAAGACCTGTGATTGATTTCTACAATTTCATAAAAATTTATTTGCTCAAAATTCCCTTGGTGGCATTTTCTGAAAATTGATAATAAAGCTCAATAGCTTTGCATATAAACAAAATCCAAAGAAAAAGTTTATGACTTGAAACCTGAAGGTCCATTTTCAGCAGTGTGCGGGGTTTACTCGGGTTTAAGCTTTTGAAATCTCAGCTCTGTATTTGAAACATAATAAGAATCCAACTGCAAATAAGAATCTATAACAATGTGGTTTAATTTTTAAATTTAAAGTCTTATAAATTGAAGAATGTGTCTAGTCCACTTCATCGGTTCTTCCAGCATAATAAAATGTCCAGCACCCTTCATGGTTTCCATTTTCACGAACTCGGGCTACAATTAGAAATATAAGAATTTATCACATACTCAAAAAGAGAAATATAGTTATACAAAAAGTATATATTTGTTTTGTTCAATAATAAAAATCATTAAAGCTTATTTTACAGTTAAAAACTTAGCTTAAAGGGACTGTAGGCATAATTTCAAGTGACCGTTTATTATGTCCGATTCACATCAGTATCCTTGATACCTTTATCTGATTAATATGTGGGAAGCTAATTTACTTTTTCATGTTTTATTATGATCATATCTCCAAGGTTTTCCAGCAGTAGAAATTCGCAAGTCACTTTTGCAGAGAAACTACATATGAAAATATTTTAAAATTGTTAACATTGATTTCTAATTCATTCTTTCTAATTTTAATGTTACCATTGGGAATCGGACTTGCCATTCTTTAAATGGAAGGTAATTTGAAATTAAGCTTACAGACCTTTTTAAGAAGAAAGAAAACAATTTCCAAAAATGTAAAAAAAATATCATATTATGAAGTATGATACAAACTAAAAACCTGAATATGTCTTGAAACTGCACGTGGAATACTGAGAGGAGACACTAAATAAACAAGTATTTGCATGTGATGATGTGTGTATGGTATTTTCTTAGATGTCGTTAGCTATATTTGTGTGTTGAACATTGTCGGAGATAAAAAGAATTTTTAAAGATTTTAATTCATCAAATACAAGCAAGCATTTCATAAAATAGTGATTTTGAAATAATATTTCCATTTTTTTTTTAATGTAATCCAATACTCAAGTTCGATTTGATTTTTAAAAATGCCAAATAACGGCCTCGATCCAAATATTAATGAAAATATCAATATATATTATTTGTCCTTAATTACCAGCGTCACTATCTCCCCAGAGTAGAAGAATTGGTATCTGTATTCTCTCCAAGCTTGTCATCCATCTAGACTCAAACCTTGATCTGACAAATAAAAATGTAGTTCTCAATGAAAATAATTTACTGTTTAATGTAATTTTGCTGCAGACAAAAACATATATAGAAAAGAAACGTTTTTTTACAAAAAAAATTTTTGATTAAAAGACACAATATTTTATGGCAAAAAATGTGAAAAAAAAATATGTTTAAGCATGTTATATGTTTGACGTTTAAAGTTTTGAAAACCCTTTGATGCGTTTCTATAGCTAATTCTGAGCATCAATACTCAACAGATTTTTGTTAAGGGGGGAGGGGGTACTTAATATATGTTTATCCTTGTATGTTTGTAGCAAACTATATTCATAATTAAATTTTTGGAAATCTTTCAATGTTTCCATAGAACAAACTTGTTTTACATTTACAAGGTTTTTTTTGCACATGTTTAGATCGGAAATAGTCTCTAAAATCGAAAAAAGGTTGAACACAGAGACTCGGCATCAATTACTCAGAACAATTTGTAATTATCAAAAAATTTTCCAAACTTTTAACGTGCATAAGAAGTACTACAAATAATGAAATAATATTTTTGTCTGTATCATTAGATCGGAAATATTTCATTGATAATTTTAATGCGGAAAAAGTCGATCGGTTCAGAATTTGGGCTGTATTGTATTAAAATGATTTTGTTTTTAGTGGAAAAAAATATGCAAAACTCAGTTGAAAACTATGTAAAAAGTTTAAAACGCACACCCGAAAGCAAAAATATACAATTTATAATCTTTTTTGATCATCAAGAAAGTATCCAATAATCCAAGAGATTAAGATAAAAAACATTTTCTACCTGTCCCGAAGATATGAGATTGTAAGATGTGTTAAAGCATTTCCGTTCTTGTATCTTAGATGGATAATGTAAACATGCATATATTTGGCTTTTATGTTTAAAATATCCAATAAACGTCAAAACCAACGAGGCCCAATTTTTTGTGGTCATGACAGGTGCAGAGAAGAGTTATGGCTGTTAATTCAGTTTTCAGAATTGGAAAAAAATTAGACCCAAAATAATTTTTTTAATTTTTAATTGTAATTCCGCCCACGATATTTTATATTGAGTTTAGTTCAAGATTTGCAAAAGGTTTGCAGTTAGATCAGGAATAAAAAGTTAAGCGTTATTACCAGAAAGATATAAAATATGGAGCAGTGCCAGTAATTTGTTTTAACTAGTGTAGGCACTAGGCACACTATTTTATTGTTTTTTAATCTTTTCATGTTTTTTGACTTTCAGGCTATTCAACTTAAGCAAAAAAAAACAATACTTTGTTTGCTCTAAAACTTTGCAATACAATGTAAATGTCCAATTTGAGGAGTTCACAAAGGGACTGTAAAGGAAAAATGAAAGGGGGTATAGGCTGAAAGCTAATCACTTTAGCTCTTGATCGCGACCCATGAAAGTTTTATCTGATGTTCCTGTCTCGAGAAATTTATATAAAACTGTGTTAAAATTATACGAAAGTTCATATATGTAAAATTTAGAAAATCTTAAACTTAAATCACGTGACCAGAACTATCACCAATGGCAGAGCAGTATACTGGTCAGGTGTCTCCGCCTATATCACGTGACCACTTTACTGCACTGCCATTGGTGGAATTTCTGGTCAAGCAATAAGGACGTATAATTAATATTATGAATTAAATCTATAAAAAATAGAAATAACAAATATAAAATTAGAATTGGAGTAAACCTAAGTTACAATTAGCTTTCTCTGGGATATCATCGTTTTCAGATTGGTTGCTTATTTGCTGAATTTGATCTATTTAAACCCACTACTTTTATACAAAATTGAATATATATTAATTTTCGTATGAATTTGACAAAGTTGTAAATCAGTTTCTCGAGATAGGAACATCTGATATAACTTTCATGGGTTGCGATCGAGAGCTAAAGTAATTAACTTTCAGCCTTTCATTTTTCAAGTGGTTTGGTACAAGAAGCAAATAAAGGGAATACTGGTAAATCTTGCAATTCTGTTAAAATAATGTTGTACAATCTTGACACAATACTAAACCATTATGTATTTTTCTTTTATTAAAAACTTTAAACGTCGACTCTGACAAAACGATTCCTAATCAAAACCAATCGTTCTTTACCAACTCTTTTAACATGATATCCTAAGTTTTTATGTTTGTTATACATATATCCGTTCCTGTTTATCATCTATAAAAAAATAATTATTTTTAAAACTGACCTCAACTCTAATACTTGAAAGAAGTTTTATCTAAGCTTAAATCTCAAAATAAAATAATTAATTTTCTCCTGAATTTGTTTTATATCGATCTCCATTTCATTCTCATCTACATATTAAAAATTTGATCTTTAAGAATAAATCATTCATTCAGATTTAAAACTGTTTTTCAGCTTTGCTGTTTAAAAAACAAATAGTGTAAAATCTTGAAAAGTAAAAATTAATTGTTGAATCTTTACACATAGAAGTATTAAAGAAAAGAAAAGAAAAAATTTATTTGCAAATTTAAGCTACTGTTGATGTCCATTGGGCATTGTGCAATGAATTTACATACCTAAATATACGGGACTCCATATTGTTTTCAGTTGTTGTGTTGACAAAAGATCCATCAATCCCGCCAATTCCTATTATATACATGTCGTCTTAAATTAATTTTCTAAAGATTTTTTTAATTCTTTATATTTTGTCAATTTTTTTGTTATTTTGTTTGTTAATGTTTTTTTTAAATTTTATTAAAACAAAAAGGTCGGTGTGATACAAGTGTAAAAACTTACATTTATTTTGTTGAGTTTAGTTAAGTAAGGACCAACAGGAGACATCAGTAAACTCTGAAATAACACAAATATTGTTATTGACTGCAGTGTTATAGGATCCATTTTATTTTAATGCGGATCCGGATCCTGGATCTGCTCTGTAAACTCGGATCCGGATCTTGGATCTGCTCTGTAAACTCGGATCCGGATCGTGGATCTGCTCTGTAAACTCAAATCCGGATCCTGGATCTGCTCTGTAAACTCGGATCCGGATCCTGGATCTGCTCTGCAAACTCGGATCCGGATCCTGGATCTGCTCTGCAAACTGGGATCCGGATCCAGGTCATGAACATTTTCTTAAGAATTAATGATTTTTTTTTACTTTTACTTAGTTTTTTGCTGAGACCTGTTAGATCTTATGAGGTTTTAATAATTGCTCATTTGTAAACAACTGAGGATTTTGTGTTGGATCCGGATCTGTGGATATATTTGCGGATCCGGACCAATGAAGCAAAAATGTTCATAGCAGTTTTATTAAGCATGGTTATCCCCAACAATGAAATTTTCAAGACGACTTTTTACAAATTCTGAAGAATAATTTTTCTTAAACTAAAGTTTGTCTGCTGAATGCTGGTTTAAAACTGTACATTAACTATACGTTTTTCGCTCTTTTTCAGAATCGTAACCATTTTTATTTTAACGTGTTTAATAGGTTTTGAGTTTCAAGTCTCATACTATTTGAATTTTAAAATTATTATTTTTGTCAATCTAGGAAAAAACTCAAAATAAAAGTTTAATGTGCTACCTTTTAGTTGAATAAGAAAGTTCTAACCTGAGAAAGTCTGAAGTTTATAAAATCATATTTCATTCCTCCGTTGGTGAAGATTATTTTCTTAAAGAAATTATTGAAATAATCTGGGAGAACACCTCTCTCATACCTACACATTGTAAATAACGGTTATTGTGAAAAATTGAATGACATTTTTGGTTTTATGTTTATTTTCTGTAATTCCTTGAGAAAGGATTAAAATATTCTATAGAATTCTAAACAAGCATGCATGCGTAAAAATTACAAGCGTTTCTGCGAATAAAATACCCTAAATTTTCACTAGAACAAAAAGGATATCTCAGTCATCTTAGATCATGGGCCTTCATACGTAATGCATTATTTTTAAATCAAAATGGGGTCTTGTCATTTGGGATTCAGCTGATTTTACCTGGACAATATTTCTGTAAGGATAGAGTCTCCCATATCATGGGATACTATGTTCGCAGATTTTATCCCTAGAATATTTCTAATAATAGGGAAATATATTTCCAAATTAAGTAAATATCTGAAAAATAATTTTCAATATTTCTCGAACAAGTTTGTTTATATTTTACCTAAAATTCTCCAAAGATTAAGAGCTTGCTCTGCTTGATCCACTGAGATTATTATTATATTGTTTATTCAAAAAGAAAAAAAACGATGAAAGTAAAATCTTTCAAGTAATTTGTTTTTATTTAAAATAAAATTTTTGGATTTGTTTAAAAAATGATTTCTCTCCTAATGAATAAGTGTAGTTTTCTTGAGGCTTATCCGAAAATCCAAATCCCAGATGATCAAATGTAACCACCCTGTTTTAGAAGTTTTATAATCACACGTAACCACGCTGTTTATTTACCTGTCATCTTAAAATAAAAGATTTTCTTGTAATCATAACTTATTTTTAACCTGTAATCTTTGGAAAGTAGATCGATAGATTTCTTGTAATCAAAGCTAGAAGTTGGAAACCCATGAATGAGTATTATTGTCTCTGTCATACTTGGATTCTAAATAGACAAATTTAAATAAATTTAACGTTTTCTAAATCTTCATTACTGAATACACAATAAAAAAATAATTATAAAAAAGGTACACAAGTCCTTTATCATTTTTGATTTCCTAAAACTTGTCCCAGAAAGGTTTTATATAGTTCTTACCTGATCAATTACAAACATTGTATGTCCCAAAACATCCACTAACCTCCCCTAAAGGAATTAAGTCATTGGCACAAACTTAAATTTTCCTATCCCTATATCTTTGAAACCTGATGGTGTACACCTTTGATATTTTATACTTAGATAATTTAAAGTAACAGAATTCATAGTTTAAATATCAAGGTCTACGACATTGTGTTGCAAAGATAATTTAGATTAGAAAATCAGAGTTTGTGGCATAGACTCAATTCCTTAGTATAAAATGGTCTTCAAAATAATCGTTACAGACGCGACGCGACCTCCCGAAAGGTGTCCCAATAAACAAGAAAATCTAAACACGGCATTTTCTAATAATGTTTTAGAGAAATGGCAACATAGATAAATAAATAGATAAAATCTATAATTTTGGAATATCTGTCAAAGGCTTGTGTTTATTTATTTCTGTTAAGTTGAGAAATGTCGTCTTATGAGCAATCTATCTTTATCTATAAATGGATAACCTTATTTAGTTTAAAGAAGGCGTTAAAACTCTCCCTATGATGTTTAGAAAGATGAAAATTGAAGGATTGGCAGTATGGTTTTGGTGAATTATATATTATAGGGGTGTCAGAAATATTTTTTGCATTTTTTTTAAAACGTCCCATGTAAGCCTAAAAAAGTTAAATTTTTGATAAAACTTGTTTGTTCTGGATGGTGCGTATATTTTTTTAAGCTTTCTTAAACCGACATGTTTTTTCTGAATTCACTTAGTTAAGAGTTCAAGTCAAAATTATTATTGATAATTTTTCCTTTATATCGAGTAGATATCCTTAAACATACCGATGTAAAACCTTTCAGAAAGTAGGAAAGATTCTGCATAAAATAGTTGCCAAACCAAACAGAATTTTATTTTTAATGAAAATATATAAGTAGAGTCATAAGCACTTCTAAATATAATTTCTTTAAAGTCTTGCATTATTTTCATGCATGAAAAAACTGGTTTAATACTAATCAACTGATCGCTTAATGGAGGGAGGGATGGCAACCACGCCAATTTTTAATCTCCATATCTGCACTGCAGGGTACTGCTGGGTAATATTGGGCACTTTGGGGTACTGTGGGGAGACTGCAAGGTACTGCATGGTACTGCATGGTACTGCTGGTTACTGCTGGGTACTACTGGGTACTGCTGGTTACTGCTGGGTACTGCTGGGTACTACTGGTTACTACTGGGTACTACTGGGTACTACAGGGTACTGCTGGGTACTAATGGGTACTACTGGTTACTACTGGGTACTACTGGGTACTACTGGGTACTACCATGGGTACTACTGGGTACTGCTGGGTACTACTGGGTACTACTGGGTACTACTGGGTACTGCTGATTACTGCTGGGTACTGCTGGGTACTGCTGGGTACTACTGGGTACTGCATGGTACTGCTGGTTACTGCTGGGTACTACTGGGTACTGCTGATTACTGCTGGGTACTGCTGGGTACTGCTGGGTACTACTGGGTACTGCTGGGTACTGGGTGGTATTATACAGAAATTTTCATCTCCTCTAAGCATCCCAGGGAAAGTTTTTAACAGGTTTTTTTAAAGTGGATTTTCTCACCCAGATTATATTAAAGTTTATTGTTCGATAAAAAAAATCATTTTTATCTTAAAAAGACATATATTTTCAAATACCCCCCCTCCCTCTAAAACTCGTCGTTTTTATATTAAAATCATTTTTGCTCAAGCAAAGGTTCTAAGAGTACAGTTGGAAATCGGGCATGTCACTCTGTACATGGAATGTCACTTGAAATTACATCAACAGCCCCTTTAATGATATAAAGTTGAAATAATATATTTGTGTTATTATTTCAAATTGAAATTTGACTTCTTTTTTATTTTTTTATCATATTTGTTTATAACTTACTTTATTAAACCAGTCTTGAATCTGAGGGTCCAGTTGGCTTAGTTTAATGTCAGGAATATAAGTTGTAAACATCTTTAATTCAGATCATATAGTTTAATGTCAGGAATATAAATATCTTTAATTCAGATCATATAGTTTAATGTCAGGAATATAAGTTGTAAACATCTTTAATTCAAATCATATAGTTTAATGTCAGGAATATAAACATCTTTGATTAAAATCATATAGTTTAATGTCAGGAATATAAACATCTTTAATTCAGATCATATAGTTTAATGTCAGGGATATAAGTTGTAAACATCTTTAATTCAAATCATATAGTTTAATGTCAGGAATATAAGTTGTAAACATCTTTAATTCATATCATATAGTTGAAAATAAAAATATACAAACATATCTAAAGATGGAGAAAACAAAATTTTACAAAACTATAATAATAAGATGTAAATGTAAATGTAGATTTAGACCGCTGCTAAATGGTTTCATATCAATTTTTCTTTTCAAAAAAATTCCCCCACTGAAAAAATATGAGCGCAGGAAAACAGAGCAGACACCTTCTAGACACCTTCCAACTGCTCAAGGTTTTGACAAAAAAAAATACCAAATTCACTGTAAAAATTTACAGGTGGGGGGGGGGGATTTTTAGCAAGGGGGGGATAAGTTTCTATTTCCACCCCCTGGAAAATGTCATAAGCCACCCCTGCATCTACACTAGAAATTTCAGTCCTATCATGATTTTCCTTAAACCAGTAAAATAGTAGAATAGACAAGATTCCCATAAATCCTCCAAAGATAATCATTTTTCTAAAAATCAATTTATTTTTTAATTAGATAATCGACATGCATATATTTGAAAATAACTATTTAATATTTACAGTTTAATCACAGTTAATTCACAATTGATTTCATTTGTTCACCATTGTGATATCTATCATCTAAATTATATTTACTGAGTTCTTATCTCAAATTATTTTTCTCTGTAGTAAAGGTTCATTGAATACAATAAGTGTTCTTGTGTACACATGTGAACTATGTGAACTCTCTGAATGACTTATAAGGTTGGAAGACGACTGTTTAAATCAGTGTATTTGCTTCATAATTATGTCTGACTGAAGGACCTGGCTTTTCCAGTGGAATTTCACAAATTGCCAAACACTGGGCACAAAACGACCTTATGCGTCAAAATTGTTATTCTGAGGAATATAACACCTATCCAATCCATCCTTAGCAAGCAACCTGCAGCGACGTCGCGCGACCAGTCCCATTAGGTTGCAGTAGGTCGGGGATACGGTGGATTACCTAACTGTTCAGAACATGACCATCCCTCTAGGTCAAGTTAGGTCGGGTTAGGTCGTGCTACGTTAGGCTAGCTAACTAGTCAGAACATGACCAGTCCCCCTAGGTGCGGGTTAGGTGAGGTTAGGTTGGGTTAAGGTCGGGTTACCTAGCTGGCCTTAACCTGACTAGTGCAGTCCACTCAGGTCTGATTTAGTTGGAATTGGCCAGGTTATGTGATTCACCGATATAGGGTCAAATGCCATAGGGTCAAACGACATGGTACTTAACGACCTAGGGTCAAACGACAAACCGTCAAAAATGCGACAAAGGGTAAAACGACATAGGGTCAAAAAGTGCGAAAAACGGGCCAAATTTCATTTTGTCTATTTTTGGTTAATTTCAAACTATTTTTATGTTCAGTGGAACTATTGGCTGTCTTAGAACTTTAAATTTATTTGTGACATTCATTCGTCAACTTGCTTTGACAGGTATGATTCTTGAATAACCTAGTCCTGGCATTTCCAAAATGTGGTCTGCCTTTTTTGTGCTGTCTATATTACCGGAGATTTTAAAAATTTCGTTCAGATTTTACTTTAATCAATAAAATATTTTTGAAATCTGAACGAAATTCTTCATATCTACGGTAATATTGAAAGCACAAAAAAGACAGATCACATTTTTACGATTTTCGGGACTGATAAGAAAAATCATTTTGAACAAATGAATATATAAGCCTAATATAAATATTTTCTTGCAGAAAATGCTAAGTTTTTTGAGTTTTACATGTTTATTTTTGCGTTATAGCGAAAGGAGATAGTCTAATATGATATGGGACGCTCTGTATATACTGTCATGTTGCATGGGACAGGGTGGGACAGGAGAGGTAGTTAAATAAATGTAATTTGTAAATATGGCAAGTGTGATTTTGAAAAATGCAGCACGACGTCTCATTAATGTGTACAATTAAATAGACATAATAAAAATGCTAAACTAATTTTATTGATTTTTAAACAAGAAAAGTTTGACTAAATCTGGTAGAATAAAATGCCGTGTTAAGTTTCACAAATCCTGTCCGAATTTACATTTATTTCTATTTTCCGAAAAGTCCGTAGCCGCCGTAGCCAAATCCACCATAGCCGAAACCTCCGTATCCCAGTCCATAGCCTCCATATAATCCTCCATAGCCTCCATAGCCTCCGGAAATGATAGCATAATTTTAATAATAATAATAATATAATGATTTATAATTATATTTATACAATGGTTCATAATTAATTTAAAATATTAAGATTATGATGGTAATTTGGTAAATATTCGATCAGTGATAAAGAAAGTAATAAGAAATTTTACGATGTAAATTAAGCGTATGTTAAGTATGTAGAAGGTATAGAACTAATACTTTTTGGGAAAAGGCGCACAAAAATGAATTACATTTTTATTCCTAAACTTTGATAACCTAGTAAATAAAAATAATAATGAAATATACCGTAAAGGCCTCCATATCCAAGCCCATATCCAAGCCCATATCCGAGCCCGAAATGAGGACTGCTCTCTACTGCTGCTACCAGGACCAGAAGCAGTACAAATATGTTGGAAGCAGCTGAAGAAAGCAGCATCTTGAGGTTTGTACGCTAGATGCAGAACAGTAAAGAACTGATGTGGAAGAACGAAGTACTTGTCTTTAAATATCCATCTTGGAGTCTATTAAATAATTCCTTTTGTTTTGATTCTGCAACATTTAATATTATTTAATTAGTTTGTTTTATTGTTTAATAAACAGTATAACTGAACGCTGCGCCCCACATTAAATATGCCGTATATTTAATAAATAGCATCGATTGAAATCTTTTCCGTAGAAATTTGATAAAGATATTCTGTTTCACCTTTTAAGAATCTCGGAAGGCGATTTTTTTCTTGAATTGTTTTCCATTGGTGTCCAGATTTGAAAATTTATAAGGAGAGGGGTAAAAATAAACACTCCAATAAACATTATTTTTTTCGGCATTACTGGAGCGACTTTGTGACTTCGTAACTTCTCTAGTTTTCATTTACACCCAGCAATAAAAAAAAACTTGTTTTTTGACATTTGGATTTCAAAACTGTCTTTTTCTTATCAATATATCATCATGAAAAGGAGTAAAAATTGAAAACAAAAGAGATTTCAAAATAAACTGAAGTTAACAAAATGTTATGCTACTTTTACATTACACGCATTCTTTCCCTTCAACAAAAAGGATCTCCTTTAATCTGTCTGTCTGTTTGTTTGTTTGTTTGTATCCAATAAACGTCAAAACGGCTGAACCGATCGGGCCCAAATTTTTTGTGGGACATCTAGGGACCCCAGGGAAGGTTTATGAAAAATCAAAATTTCAAATATTTGTCTCCATCAAAATTCGATCGTCATTAAATTTTTAAAAATTTTGAAAATCCGCGAAATTTTTTGTAAAAATCCGCGAATTATTTTTGTTTTGTTTTACGATGTACACAAAGAGAACATGTTCACAACTAATTTAGAAGATGGGCGCGAAGCGCCCTCTAAGGTTAGAAAGAAGGGCGCGAAGCGCCTTGAATTTCTAGTCTATATATAAATTTGGCTTGTCTGTTTGTTTGTTTGTCTGTCTGTCTGTTTGTATCCAATAAACGTCAAAACGGCTGAACCGATCGGGCCCAATTTTTTTGTGGGACATCTAGGGACCCCAGGGAAGGTTTATGAAAAATCAAAATTTCAAATATTTGTCTCCATCAAAATTCGATCGTCATTAAATTTTTAAAAATTTTGAAAATCCGCGAAATTTTTTGTGAAAATCCGCAAATTATTTTTGTTTTGTTTTACGATGTACACAAAGAGAACATGTTCACAACTAATTTAGAAGATGGGCGCGAAGCGCCCTCTAAGGCTAGTTAAGGATAAAAATGCGAACTATGTAAGTGTGACAGAAAAATAAAGTTTGATCCATGAGAACGTTATCAAGAACTAGGGAGAAGCCCCCCCCCCCCCGTTTTTTAAAGGAATGTCACATCGAAGAGGGGGAAAGTATGACTTAGAGTTGGAAAAATGGAGAAAAAAAAACTAGAAAGTGGGAAAATATCAAATTATGAAGAATGGATGAAGATTATTTTAAAGATACTGCTCTATATATGCCGTTCCTCTCATATATTCTTTTGCTCCTTGTATTATATTTCTATAGATGAATAATAATTACATAAAATAATTAACCAAATCTTGAGAATTAATAGAAAAGCCCCGCCCCTTCTCATTATATTCCTTTAAGAATAAGTATAATGCTATTCTAATTTTTTGTTCTATTTCTTGTTTTTGATTATGGTTTCTTGTTTATTTTTACTTGCTATTCTTCCTGTTCTTCTTGTGTGAGATCCTGTAAATTTTGTTCTTATGTTTTTTTTTCAACTTAATCCTGTTGGTTGGTTTAAATATTGTAACTTGTTTTTAATCTTGTTTTTAATCTTGTTTTTAATCTTGTTTTTAATCTTGTTTTTAATCTTGTTTTTTAATCTTGTTTTAATCTTGTTTTTAATCTTGTTTTTAATCTTGTTTTTAATCTTGTTTACTTTTCTCAATATTGTCCCTTAATCCTGTTTTATGACTTGTCATATTTCTTGTTATTAATCTTTTTGATCCTAGTTCAGAATCTTGTCTCTTCTTCTTAATCTTGTCTCTTCTTCTTAATCTTGTCTCTTCTTCTTAATCTTGTCTCTTCTTCTTAATCTTGTCTCTTCTTCTTAATCTTGTTTCTTCTTCAGAATCTTGTTTCTTCTTCAGAATCTTGTTTCTTCTTCAGAATCTTGTCTCTTCTTCAGAATCTTGTCTCTTCTTCTTAATCTTGTTTCTTCTTCAGAATCTTGTTTCTTCTTCAGAATCTTGTCTCTTCTTCTTAATCTTGTTTCTTCTTCAGAATGTTGTTTCTTCTTCAGAATCTTGTTTCTTCTTCAGAATCTTGTTTCTTCTTCTTAATCTTGTTTCTTCTTCAGAATCTTGTCTCTTCTTCTTAATCTTGTCTCTTCTTCTTTATCTTGTTTCTTCTTCTTAATCTTGTTTCTTCTTCTTTATCTTGTCTTCTTCTTAATCTTGTTTCTTCTTCAGAATCTTGTCTCTTCTTCTTAATCTTGTCTCTTCTTCTTTATCTTGGTTCTTCTTCTTAATCTTGTTTCTTCTTTTTTATCTTGTCTTCTTCTTAATCTTGTGCCTTCTTATAAATCTTGTCTCTTCTTATAAATCCTGTTTTTTATTCAGAATCTTGTGTCTTCTGCTTTATCTTGTCTCTTTTTCTAAATCTTGCCTCTTCTTCTTAATAGTGTATTTTTTTCTTAATCTTGTCTATTTTTCTTAACCTTGTCTCTTCTCCTAAATCTTGTTTCTTCTTCTTAATCTCGTCTCTTCTTCTTAATCTTGTCTCTTCTTCTTAAGCTCGTCTCTTCTTCTTAATCTTGTCTCTTCTTCTTTATCTTTTCTCTTCTTCTTAATCTTGTCTCTTCTTCTTTATCTTGTCTCTTCTTCTTAATCTTGTCTCTTTTTCTTAATCTTGTCAATTCTTCTTAATCTTGTCTCTTCATCTTCATCTTAATCTTGTCTCTTCTTCTTTATCTTGTCCCTTCTTTTTAATATTGTCTCTTCTTCTTAATATTGTCTCTTCTTAATCTTGTCTCTTCTTCTTAATTTTGTCTCTTCTTCTTAATCTTGAATCTTCTTATTAATCTTGTTTCTTCTTATTAATCTTGTTTCTTCTTCTTGATCTTGTGTCTTCTGCTTTATCTTGTCTCTTCTTCGTTATCTTTTCTCTTCTTCTTAATCTTGTTTCTTCTTTTAATCTTGTCTCGTCTTCTTATGCTTGTTTCTTCTTTTAATATTGTCTCTTCTTCTTAATCTTGTTTCTTCTTTTAATATTGTCTCTTCTTCTTAATCTTGTTTCTTCTTTTTAATATTGTCTCTTCTTCTTAATCTTGTCTCTTCTTATTAATCTTGTTTCTTCTTTTTAATCTTGTTTCTTCTTCTTGATCTTGTGTCTTCTGCTTTATCTTGTCTCTTCTTCGTAATCTTGTCTCTTCTTCTTAATCTTGTTTCTTCTTTTTAATCTTGTCTCTTCTTCTTATGCTTGTTTCTTCTTTTAACATTGTCTCTTCTTCTTAATCTTGTCTCTTCTTATTAATCTTGTTTCTTCTTATTAATCTTGTTTCTTAGTTGTGGCCCAGGTTTCAAACCTGGGCCACAACTGACAGCCAGACGGAACTCGGATCTGGCGATCTCGGAGCTACACCCCACATCTGATAATTAACGGTAAAAAAGATTTCTAAAAAAGCTCCGTGGAAAACTTGCAGATTGCTTTCACCCTCACTGGATCTTACATTTTCTTTTTACATAGAAACCAAGGATGCGCACACGGTCCACAACGGACTGTAAAGGTTTAACTAAATGAATCGTATCTAACCTAGATTCTCATTAACTAAATGTCAAGCCTTAAAAATTGTGCTTAAAATCGAAAATCGTCTGATCGTAAATTTGAGGAACAAGTTTCCATTTTTTAAATTTTGCTCCGAATTGAAACTCTCTTAATCTTATACATGAATCTTAAACTAGCCTTTGGACGTAGTATCTCTCAATACCACGTTTACACCTGTAAATCTTCAACCAGATTGAAAAGACTCCGATGTGCATACTCGTTAATAAAAGCCCAAGATATAAAATTAGTCTAAAATTGAAGATCTTACTTAAATAGTCAAATGTTTCAACTTAAGTCTTGAATTCCAATGATATTCGAAATTCCAAAATAAGAACTCTATTAACATGTTTAATTATAACCCCGACGGCCTTGATTTCAAAGGGAAATGGAAGATTTCTTTTTTCCTTTCTTCATGGTTCTCTCTTTACCTAGTTAAACTGAAACCTGGAAGATGAATGAGCAGCGAACCTCAGAGGATCCGGCGGATCCCATAGCTGCACCTCGCAGCGGAAAATAACGGTAAAAAATATACTCCCATAAGTCCCCGAGAAGACTGGCAGAATTCATTTCATCATCAATGAATTTTTAATCTTTTTTATACAGAGAGCAGGGGCGTGCACACGGATCATTTTGGATTGTAAAGGTCTAAACCCTATTGAACCAAAACTAATGTACATGTATTTAATATAATTCTAATAAAAATACAACTTAAAGTATACAATGTCAGTTGTCTAAGTTAAAGACTTTTTTATCTTTTATTCTTTAATTTGATAGTTCGAATATAAAACTTCCAAGATATTAAATTAGTCTAAAATTGAAGATCTTACTTACTTAAATAGTTAAATGTTTTAACTTAAGTCTTTTATTCTTTAATTTGATAGTTCGAATATAAAACTTCCAAGATATTAAAATAGTCTAAAATTGAAGATCTTACTTAAATAGTTAAATGTTTTAACTTAAGTCTTGAATTCCAATGATATTCGAAATTCTAGAATTAGAATTTTATCAACAGGTTTAATTTTAAATCCCGAGGGCCTTGATATTAAAGGGAATTAGAAGATTTCTTTCTTCCTTTCTTCATGGTTTTTTCTTTACCTAGTTAAACTGAAACCTGGAAGATGAATGAGCGGCCAACCACAGAGGATCTGGCGGATCCCATAGCTGCACCTCTCAGCGGAAAATAACGGTAAAAAATATATTTCCATAAGTTCCCGAGACGACTGGCAGATTTCCTTCATTATCAATGAATTTTTAATCTTTTTTATACAGAGAGCAGGGGCGTGCACACGGATCATTTTGGATTCTAAAGGTCGAAACCCTATTGAACCGGAACTAATGTACAAGCTATTTAAATAAAATTCTATTAAAATTACAACTTAAAGTATACAATGTCAGTTGTCTAAGTTTAATGACTTTCTTATCTTTTATTCTATAATTAGATACCTCGGATATAAAACTTCCAAGATATTAAATTAGTCTAAAATCGAAGATCTTACCTAAATAGTTCAATGTTTAAATTCAATTTTAAATGATTTCCAATGATACTCGAAATTCCAGAATTAGAACTTTATCAACATGCTTAATTATAATCCCGACAGCCTTGATTTTTTCCTTTCTTCATGGTTCTCTCTTTACCTAGTTAAACTGAAACCTGGAAGATGAATGAGCGGCGAACCTCAGAGGATCTGGCGGATCCCATAGCTTCACCACTCAGCAGAAAATAAATGTTTTGCAGGATCCAAGTATCCTTGATTGGAAATTTTTAATTTACGAAATGTATGTATTTAATCCTTATACAAATCTCTCAAAAATGTAAACGAATTTGTCGTTATTATTCGTGTAAACTATGTTGTACAATTTAAATAATAAGACAATAAATATTTAGATCTCAAAAAAAAAATCTTGTTTCTTCTTTTTGATCTTGTGTCTTCTGCTTTATCTTGTCTCTTCTTTGTAATATTGTCTCTTCTTAATATTGTTTCTTCTTTTTAATCTTGTCTCTTCTTCCTATGCTTTTTTCTTCTTTTAATATTGTCTCTTCTTCTTAATCTTGTCTCTTCTTATTAATCTTGTTTCTTCTTATTAATATTGTTTCTTCTTCTTGATCTTGTGTCTTCTGCTTTATCTTGTCTCTCCTTTGTAATATTGTCTCTTCTTCTTAATATTGTCTCTCCTACATATTGTCTCTTCTTCTTAATCTTGTTTTTTTCTTCTTAATCTTGTTTTTTCTTCTTGATCTTGTTTTGTGTTCTTTATCTTGATTTTTTGGTTTTCTTGTCATTGTTATTTTCTTGTTCCTGTTCGTTACTGTAAAAGTTTAAGGCTCTGTCAAAAAAAAATCAAGATGAATACAGATTGTTTAGCCAGGATTGTTAGATAATTATCCATTTAATTATTAAGATAATTATTTTTTTTCAACAATTGTCTAACGGAAATATTAAGGAATGGTGCACCACTTTCATCTTGAAAATATAAAAGAAACAAATAAGAGGAAAGAAAGAAAAAAGAAATAAAGATAGATAGATAAATAGACAGATAGACAGATAGACAGATAGATAGAAAGATGGATAGAAACCTTTAAACCCCTATTTCGGACACTTTCTCTTCCCAAAAAAATTCTGTTTCTTTAATTATGTTTGTAAGTTCATTAGGTAGACCTGCCTTGGCTTCTTGAATAAAATTAAGTATAATTTTTGTATACCATTCTTCCGATATACTCGTTCACCCAAAATGTTGCTGTTTATTAGTTTTGGAGTAATTGTTCAAATAAATCAGATTTATTAATGCAAACATATCCTACATTTTTGTCTGCTTCAATTATAATTTTGTCTCCCCACCAATGTTTGTTGAATGATTGCTCAAATGTTTTCAGATAGATAGATAGATATATAGATAGATAGATAGATAGATAAATAGATAAATAGATAGATAGATAGATAGATAAAAAGGTAAATATCTAGAGTGAGACATGATATTTATATAAAGAAACATGATATAAATAAAGCTATATAATTAGTTGGAACAAAAGCAGGTTGCACGCGGAATAGGGCGGGGCCAGTATAAACCATAGATATTGTACCGTGAGAATATATAGCATCCATATATTATATAATCTATTCTATTATTAGATTAAACTACTTAGATATCATTTTATAAAACCATCTGCGCTCTGTATTCGTATTTAAGTCCAAAAACCAAAGGCATTGAGTCTTGGCCACAAACTCTGATTTTCTCAGCGCTTAGATGTTTCAAACAATATGAGTTCTGTTAGATCAAATATTTTTTTAAATATCAAAGATTTACACGCTTTAAGACATAAATCTTTTAATTTAAGTTTGTGACGATCAAAGACTCAATTTCTTTAACAGTTCATTTATTTTACGAACTTAATTATTCCATACTTTACTCTTAACATTCTTGCAGATTTTCATTTAATTTATCAATTTTTTTACTGCTTTCTCTAGCTTTATTCTCTGCATAATACATTGAAATTGAGCATAATTATATGAAGCAAATAGTAAAAATGGTAAACCATATCTTAAAATCTTTGTATCTTCCTTATTGCAAATTATTTTGTTATATTTATAAACAGTATCAATCATATGCCAGTTATTGAATTGCTTAGTGAAACTGATTCAGAACAGTTTCTGATGTCTTGTCTTTCCTTTTAAAGGGAGTGTTCGCGAAAAATGAAAGGGGGTATAGGCTTAATGCGATAAAAAAGCGCTTTTGATCGCTACTAATCTTACTTCTATCTGTTGCGTAAAATATAAACTATAGACAAATGTGGCGAAAGATAATCGATGACTATAGGTTGTAATATCTGAATGATTTGTTTGAAATTAAATAGATTTTTTACGGTCTAAGTCGTATGTTACAATTTTCTCAATTTGTATGGGCGCTAAGTTATTCGGTATGAGACGTCTTTAACAAGTTTCTTCTTATAGACGTAACAGATAGAAGTAAGATTAGTAGCGATCAAAAGCGCTTTTTTATCGCATTAACCCTATACCCCCTTTCATTTTTCGCGAACACTCCCTTTAGGTAATTCCAAGTTATTATTTGCAAGTGGAATGGAGGGTATGTGTTCTAGCCTGAGTGCTGCACCTTTGTCAAGTGCTAGACGAGATGGGTACTGATGGACATGACATTAGCACAGGCTGATCCAAGTTAATGTGCAGTAGGACAGGACAAGAAAGTAAGAAAAAGTCCATTATTTGAATTTAAGGCATCCAAACCACACAAAATGACATTCCTTTATAAAAAGCTGGCTTTTTGGTATGCAACAATTTTCATTTAATCCCGCCGGGATATTTTCATTTAAAGATACTTTGAAAATCTACAAAAAAAATCTACAAAAAAATCCCCAAGCCCTCGGGTTTATCATTGAATCCCCTCTTTAAAAAGGAATGTCATTTACTCACAGACAAATTAGAATCAATGATACATTGATTCTAATTTGTCTGAGAGTAAATGATACATTCATATTGCTAACAATATCAATTTTTAGTATGCTTTTAATGATAGGAATAGGACTAGTAGGAGAATTCGAGAGACTTTTTTACGGAGCCAGAGAACTCAAAAACATGAAAGGAAAGGATAAACGTAAGATAACAAAACGAATGAATACTATTAAAATCTTTTTTTTGTTACTTTTTAGTATATGTCTGACAGAAGAAAGGACAGAAGGACACTACTCAATTAGGTCTGAGAGTTCCATTTTCCTAAAGTCATTAGCAAATCAACGCAAATGCGTCTGATAAGAATTATTCTTATACTGTCCATCTCAAATGGTAATCAATAGGTAAGATTAAGGGAAAAAATAGTATGTATAAGCAAGATCAGACCCCGTAAAACAAGTATTCATTATGGTTTATAGAGTACACCCAGATGTCAATTTTTCAATGATAAGACAACGGCGCATTACAAAATGTGGGGGTATACATCTTTTAATCAGCCTTCAATAAAACAAAAAATAGAAAGACTTTGAAAACGAACTGAAAACAGGTTTACTGATATATCGGTTTTTATGCATGCATGAACTATGCCCACAACCCTTAATTAAAATAAAATATTTTAAAAGTTAAAAATACCTTTCCCTTGTGTCAAGATTGGATTGATTTAAGTAAAAAATAACGTTATAATTTTTTTGTACTTTTTCTATTCTCTGTACATCTTTAAAATATCATTCCAATTCTTTATAACAGTTCTTATTTAAAATTTTCTCCATGGTTTTCTTTTTAATCCGTTCTTCCTTCAATTTAATTTACTACATACTCCCCATTTTGTACATATGTAAAATTATAAGGAAGTACAGTAGCACTATGCATGTAAAACTGTTTTCTAACATTTAAATTGATGTAATTATTTTTGCTTCAATTGACAACCATCAACCCCTCCCTCTTTCATATTATTCTTTCTCTACACCCCCCCCCCATTCAACAAAGAGACGTACCCTTACCCTACCCCTTCCCACGACGTCTACACCCATTCATCAAAACAAAACTTTCCTTTTCCCTCTATTTAAAAAATGAAATATATGTATCCCTGTAAATTGCGAACTATAGTTTTTACACTTGTTAAATACTGCACTGCTGATAGATGTTCATACAACACATTAAATAAATAAATAGTCACAATAAATACAGGGAGGGTCAAGGGGAAATAAATATCTTAATAATATGTTAAAGGGTTGATAGACGTAACTACAATTGACTCTAAATCTAAAAAGTTGCCAGCATGCCCAGAATGATACCCTTCAAACCTGAGCAAAAATGATTACTTCTGCAGCTAAAAATTATGCAGAAACCCTTGTACAAAGGGGGCACGTGTTCCGTTCTCTAGGTGGGGCTCAAAACCTCAACCAGCTATAGATATCTGAATTAGTTTTTTGCTTATTCTATCTAAAACAAGCTTAATCACCCCAGTTCAAAATACTTGCGTTTAGGGTTGAGGTAAACATTAAATTTAGGGTTTTTTAAAAATAAAAATAAAGAAAAAATTGCCGATTATCAAAGATAATAGAATAAATATTGAAAAGAAAACACACAAAATATTTTTTTTACATTTTTGTCTTGGAAATTGTAATTTTTCATATTAGTTCACACTTACTCGAATTCACTATAGTTTAGGTTATGCTTCATTAACAATTGAATCTTATCAATCTAAAGGTTCTATCTATCTATCTTTCTATCTATCTATCTATGTATCTATCTATCTATCTATCTATCTATCTATCTATCTATCTATCTGAGTGTGTCACCTATAAAGAAAGTCCACCCTGTAGTATATGTAAAGAAGAGTATATAAGGTTTAGTACGGAAATATATTCCCGCCCTATCACATCTAAACATTATCATATACGAACTTCTTCTTTAACACAGTAGAGAAAATTTGGAAACTAAAGAAATGTCGGATTTCATTATAATTATAATGTTTGCTCTGACAGTCCAAGCTTACTTTAGATAAATATCTCGAAGAAAATTTTTATATACTTATTGCGAAAGAACCATGGCTAGATTTTACATTTATCATACTGGGTTACCCACAATAAATGAGACTTCGGAGACGACTGTTCAGAATTGATTGTGTCTTTTCCTAAACTTGTGGTTGCTGGGGCTTTAAGCTTCAGATCTTTATATTCAAGAATGACAAGGGAATGAGGAGAAAGTGAGATGATTAAGGATGACAAGGGGAAGAGGAAGAAAGAGAGAAGATTAAGAATGACAAGGGGAAGAGGAAGAAAGAGAGAAGATTAAGAATGACAAGGGGAAGAGGAAGTATGTAAGAAGAAGAAGAATGACAAGTGGAAGAGGAGGAAAGAGAGAAGATGAAGAATAACAAGGGGAAAGTGAATAAGGAGAGATGAGAGAAGAGGAAGAAAGACAAGGGGAAGAGGGGGAAAGAGAGAAGATGAAGAATGACAAGGGGAAGAGGGCGAAGAAGAGAAGATTAAGAATGACAAGGGGAAGAGGAAGAAAGAGAGAAGATTAAGAACGAAAAAAGGGAAGAGAAAAAAAAGACGAATAAGAATGACAAGGGGAAGAGGAAGAATGAGAGAAGATTAAGAATGACAGATGGAAGAAAAAAAAGAGAGATTAATATGAATGACAAGCGGAAAAGAGAGAAAGAGAGAAAACAAAAATGACAAGTGGAAGACCGAGAAAGAAAGAAGACAAAGAATGACAAGAAGAAGATGAAGAATGACAAGGGGAAGATAAAGAACGACAAGGGGAATAGGAAGAAAGAGAGAAGATAAATAATGACAAGGAAAAGAAGGAGAAAGAGAGAAGATTAAGATTGACAAGGGGAAGAGGAAAAAGAGAGAAGATATAGAAAGACAAGGAAAAGAAGGAGAAAGCGAGAAGATGAAGAATGACAAGGGGGAGAGGAAGAGGAAGAAAGAGAGAAGATGAATAATAACAAGGGGAAAGTGGATAGGAGAGAATAAGGAAAAGAATGTCAATTGGGTTAGGAGGAAAAAGCAAAAAATATTTGGGACAGAATAACAAAGAAAAGGAGAAACAAGAAAAAAGATTGAATCGAATATCTGAGGAAGGGGGGGGGGAAGAAAGAAGGAGAAAGAGATAAGACTAGGATGATTGAGATTTAGAAGGAAAATATTGATAGAAGAATAACAAGAGAAAGGATAAAAACGAAAGAAAAAGAATAAAGAAAGAATCAATGAAAAGAAGAAGGTTATGACGAAAAATATAGTAAGGGAAATAGTCGAAGTTTAAAATATTAAAGGTTTACACACCATGAGATTGCAAAGGTATAGAGAATAGAACATTGTGCGTAATCAGTTATTTGTAAAGTACTTTTTAAATATATTTACATTGTTTATTCTTATACTTTTTCTTTCTTGATTTTGTTTTTGAAACGCAACGGTCAACATTTATCTTGTTTCGCAAGATATTAAATGAATCCGGGATGTTTACATAATGATTGCTAGGCAACAGGGGTGAACAACCTTCATGTATTACGCAAATATAAAAAAACAAAAAACAATTAAATTAACCTATTCAATTAATGCATAATTTGTCTGACATATACTTTGTACATATTTATCCCTTTTTTGTTTGATAAAAACATTAAAGTGTTTTTACGAATGTAATTAGCGTATTCCTGCAATCACAGGGTGCAAATATGGTTCAGAATTAAGGACTTAAAGTTATTTTAGAATTTTTGACATAAGACATTACAGTCTGCAGGCGTAATTTCAAGTGACTCTACATCTATAGAATGACATGTTGGATTCACAATCATATACAACATGTTCTATCAATATTCGAATAATAATAAAGAAGACGTTGACATTATTCTATCTTGAAACTTGGTAAATTCGAACAATTTTCTTTGTTGTTGTTCTGTTGCAAAAATCTACGAGTCACTTACATTAAGAAGTGAAGTTTTTTAGTCAGAAAAATTATGAAATATCAACTATTTAAGAATGCGTCGAAAAATAATCGATGACTATTGTTTGTAATATCTGAATGATTTGTTTAGAATTAAATTGATTTGTTAACGATCCGAGTTGAATGTTGCATCTTTCTGAATTTGTATGGACACTACGTTCTTCGGTGTGAGACGTTTTTAACAATTTTCTCCTTATAGACGCAACAGATAGAAGTAAGATTAGTAGCGATCAAAAGCGCTTTTTTATCGCATTGAGCATATACCCCTTTTCATTTTTCGCGAACACTCCCTTTTAAGAAGTAAACGGAAAATTTTATTTTTATTAATGGTTTCAGATTGGAAAGTATTGAAAAGCCTAGCTATCTGAAACTGTATTGATCTGAAACTGGGTTCTAGGTTTATAAACACTACAGACCGGATGGTAAATACAATCTCAACACAGAAGATAGAAGATGTTCTCACACCTAAACATTTTTAGAATTAAAGTCGGATGAAGTGTTTAACTAGAAGATAAAGAACGGATAAAAAATCTAGTTTTGAAAAAATGAATTTTTGTCAAATAATCTCTCTTCTTCTCTATTCTGGACACGTGGATTTATTAAGATTACAAACAAGGAACCAGAAAACTAAAAATAAAGATTTTATTTTAAATTCGTGGTTTTTAAGACATGCATGAAAGATAACTATTACGTATACAGTTTGTTTGGATTAAGATTTGTTCTAGCTGTGAACCCTTATTTGAAAGTTTAAACCGTTCTTAGAGTTACAAAAAGACACTTTATAAAGCTTTTTTGTATTTTATTTTTATCTTATATTATAATCTAAGTTTTGTGGTGTTGTACAGAAGATTTGATGGAGGAGGAGACGGGTATAGAAGAGGTAGAGAGCTAAACAACCAGGTTTGTATTTGGTACAATGGTCGGCGCATTAAAAAAAAAGATTTTAAAGAAATGTTATTTTGATTTTACCAAAAAAAGAGAGATAATTAAATATAGATTAGGAAGGCGGATGATAGGGAAGGAAACGAATGATATGGGGGGGTGGAGGGATGGGAAGAAGAGGAGTGGGAGGAGTGGGAGGAGAGGGAGGAGAAGGATGGGGGAGTGTGAACAATGAACAACCTACAATTAATATAATGATTGAGATGGAATGTAAACTTTGTTCGACTTATCTCAGTACTCAACATTCCACCTGGAGTAATATAATGTAACCTTCACAGGATATAATCCTTGAATTGGACCGGGGGGGTATTATTTAGATGTGAGAATATCTACTGAAATAACCATAAGAATCAAAACAAAAATCAATAAAAAAAAGAAAATCTAAAAATTTTAAAATAGTAAAAAAAACTATATATTTTGCATATCTCTGATTTTAAATAATCTTAAGTTTAGGACGGGTTGAGTTTAGAGGATGAAGAACACAGTTCTCCAGGTAGGAAGGTTCACTGTAGTTCTCCTAGTGGTAGTGTTGAAGGACGGATAGTGGTTGAGGAGGAGGGGGGAACTCTAACAGATATGACAGTTCTAACCTGGCAAATAGGACTTGGAGAAACATTGTGCTACAGGTATTTAGAGTATAAGTATAAGAAAATTGAAAATGTAAAGACTGTTAATTTAATTCTACAGCCGTCGTCGTTTATATCAATACGATGAAGATAGATTTCTATTTCAATTTTGATTTCTACCGAGCTTTAAACAGCAGGGACACATTAACAAATTAACAAATATAAGTTATCAATAATCAGCTTTTCTTTGTTTAAATGTAAACTTGCAATTTGAAAAAAAGAAACATTATTGCAAAAAGTCGTCTTCACTCACCACTCTACAACAAAAGGATGGTTCCCCTTTGTTTATTTTTCTAATTATTGGATTAAAGCGAAATTTCAAGTGACTTTTTATTCAAAAATGACAATGTCCGATTCACAACAGTACCAAATTAAAAGCTTTGTCTGAATTAGATATAATTTATATATTAATGGTTATAGTTTTGAAAACTAATTATTGTTGTTTCTCTACAAAAGTGACTTCTGTGATAATAATATTCCTGGCTAAGAGGGATAACATGAACTGATAGATAATCACGAGATTGTCCTTTTTCAAGCCGTCATCGTATATATCGATACAATGAAGACAGATTTCTATTTCAATTTTGATTTCTACCAAGCTTTAAACAGCAGGGACACATTAACAGATTAACAAATATAAGTTATCAATAATCAGCTTTTCTTTGTTTAAATGTAAACTTGCAATTTGAAGAATACTTGTCAGGGATAGAAACATTATTGCAAAAAGTCGTCTTCACTCACCACTCTACAAGAAAAGGATGGTTCCACTTTTTTATTTTTCTAATTATTGGATTAAAGAACACAACTAAGTCAAAGTACCACTTGAAGCGAAATTTCAAGTTACCTTTTATTTAAAAATGACATTGTCCGATTCACAACAGTACTAAATTAAAAGCTTTGTCTGATTAGTATAATTTATATATCAATGGTTACAGTTGTTTCTCTACAAAAGTGACTTCTGTGATAATAATATTCCTGGCTAAGAGGGATAACATGAACTGATAGATAATCACGAGATTGTCCTTTTTCAGCAAGAGAGGGGGTTTACCGCTCATTTTATAAGAAATCGCCCTAATCTTTAGTAAAAGATAAAGCTAAAATATTCTAGATTGTTCTTGTTCAGGTTCAGCTCCGAGGGTTCCTCTCTCCACGGAGTAGTTGAGGTTAGATTCAGCTCCTTGAAGAGTGTTTACAGTATCACAGATTCATATCAGTTCCAGCTTCCAGCAGGACATGCAGAGTGTATTTGTGATTGTCCAGGAGGTATACTTTATCATTAATATTATTATTATTATTATTATTATTATTATTATTATTATTATTATTATTATTATTATTATTATTATTATTATTATTATTATTATTATTATTATTATTATTATTATTATTATTATTATTATTATTATTATTATTATTATTATTATTATTATTATTATTATTATTATTATTATTATTATTATTATTATTATTATTATTATTATTATTATTATTATTATTATTATTATTATTATTATTATTATTATTATTATTATTATTATTATTATTATTATTATTATTATTATTATTATTATTATTATTATTATTATTATTATTATTATTATTATTATTATTATTATNTTTCCCTCCAGTTTCCATGTATTTTTCATATTTTCCTTCCAGTTTCCATGTATTTTTCATATTTTCCCTCCAGTTTCCACTTATTTTTTTCATATTTTCCTTCCAGTTTCCGTGTATTTTTCCTGTTTTCCCTCCAGTTTCCACGTATTTTTCATATTTTCCTTCCAGTTTCCATGTATTTTTCATATTTTCCCTCCAGTTTCCACGTATTTTTCATATTTTCCTTCAAGTTTCCATGTATTTTTCAAGATCAACGGGAGTTTAAGGACCTAAAATTCAAACCTTTCAAAATAAACTTTACTCGAAAATTATATAATAGACTGGTGAAAATTTAATGAAGTACCACTGTATAACATCAGTTGAACGTAAAATAATTTTCGTGTTTTACAAAGCATTTAAGGGTACCGTTGTGAATACAACATTCCACCCTGCAAATGAAGGGTCATTTGAAATTACATTTACATTTCCTTTGAACTTATATAATTAGTATTTATTTAAATTTAACCCTTCTCCATAATCCCAGAGAATTTTTGGTTTAATTGGTAATCCTATACATGCATCTTAGTATTTCCCTTAGACCTTTAATCCTGTAATCCTTTAATCCCTGCAACTTCAGGTGTATGTGATCCTCCACATTTGACACTGAAACTGACCCATGTTGTTTTAACAGGGTGTATATATTTGTCTGAGACAACGAAATGCAGTTTTTTTTTCGGATGATTTTAATTTGAACATTTTTCGGATATTTTTCAATAAACAAAAAGAATGTATGATTTCTTTTAGGAATCAACTGCAATGCATGGCCCGGGGGGGGGTCTAGCATAATTTTGGCTCAATTCTTGCAATTATTAAATCAAATATGAAAAAATACCACAAAACAGTGGTGTGTAAAATTATGTAGGCTGTTTCTTCAGTTTTCTGAAGCTGTCATCAGCTGTCTGCTGCGCTGTCAAGGTCAAACCTATTTCTGACAAGAAATACCGAGCTGTCAACTTGCGAATTCCTAGTGTTATCGCACAGTTTGAGACGAAATATATCGATGAGAACGGAACTGTCCTTGATACACGGAATTACAATGTTGATCTGAACTCAGGAATGTTTATGGATATTCTTAGATTGCGAGCACTGTAATTAGTCAGATAAGAGTTTTAACTTTTAAAGATTTAAAGTTTAAAGAGTCTGGAATTTCTTGTTTGTTATCATGATACGATACGTATAAAAAATGCATCCGAAAACGTTTTTGATAAATTCTTAATACTTACTTTTATACATGGTGTTGGTGTACACTGTACATTAAAAGGGCAAAATCATAAACTATGCAATAGGGACAACAATAGATTGGGACGTGAGCCTTCAAGTGAGTAGTCCTGGGCCCACCTCCTTGGTCCCTCCAGGCTGGTATGTGGTCCCAGAGAGCTCTACCCACCACCACACCCTACTGGCAGGCGAGGAGGTTAACCCCCTAGACGGATGGGACGTGGACAAACTTGGATGGTTTAAAACAGGTTTAAGTGGGGAAGGAGTGGCCGAAGAGCTGGATCAGCTGATGTTGAAGTTCTCTCCTCAAGTGGAAAACTGCGCGACTGGTGAATACTCCGCCATCTTTAAATCTGGAAAGATAAACCAGGATGAGGTTGGAGGACGACCTGTCCAACAACTCTTCCCGTTTATTCAATCCGTCAGGGTCTGGAGACGACATATCGAGATGGAGCATAAAGATTCTCCCCTTCTCTCCCTCTCCCTTCAGCACAGGTCTAGAGTAGGCGTGGTAGTGCAGAGCTCCGCCTCTCATCTTGGAGATTTTTCAGGATATCTCTACCAGGACCAAAATTCTCATCTTCATCTTAATCTGACTTTAATCAATGCAACAGGAACTCTCAGTGGCTTGGTTTCAGGAGAAACAGCTTCACAGGCAAGTAAAAAAATACAGTAAAAAGCAAAATGGGATTAAAAGTTCCTATAATAAAAAGAGGATAAAAACGGAATATAAAAGAAAGAGCTTTTAGCGAGTTTTTTTAATGAAAGAATGAAATATTGTAAATAAAAAGATGAAGACAGATAAGCAAAAAATGTCCAGCTCCGGAATTGAGTAAATTGTTAAAAGTATTCAACAAGTTTGAAACTGCGTGATAAACCTATTGTTAGAAAACTAGAATAGAAAGAGAGGATAAATTTAAACTGAAATTTAAATTTGGTAAAATTCAGGTGTTCCTATTGAGGGTTAATTCAAGCCAAACAAATACTGTACGGTTGAGCATGACAAGCTGTACTGCTGAACAGGTTAGGAAATAAACACAATTAATCTCAATCTGAAAACTCAAAGATGTTCCTGAGTCCAGAATTGAACAAACTGTTTTCATACTTTTTTTCTTGAACTAGCAGACGTTTGTATATAGGTGAATGTAAGCCTGCATCCTGTAGGACGAGTTGAGGAAGTCCTGAGTAGACAGGTTCCCTGTATTACAGAAAACCAACGAATGTTTAGATCCGTCCCAGGTCCAGGGCATCATGTGGAAGTTAAACTAGGGGTAAAAATAATAATTTGTATTAAAAATATTTTCAAAATATTTTATTGGGGTTGGACAGCTAGCTAAATATATGTTTTCTAATTGTATTGGATCTTTATGTAGTTGTTATTCATAAAACAAACGGGGTTAATACTATATGTGCATTTCATAAAAAACTGAAATTTTCAAAATAGTTTTAGAACTGAGTACTTGCCACAACCTCTGATCGTCAAATGCCTAAATCTTTTAATCCTGATGATGTAATCCTAGTTTATCTTGCAGAGTTCTTATGGTTAAACCATTAAAGCTCTCCGCCATCAGGCTGCAAAGATTAAAGAAATAGTAGAAATTAGAGTTTGTGGCACGTAACCACAATTTATTTGAAATTATAAAATCACAGAAATCGGAACCAAAGTTTAGTAAAATATACAATTTGTAGATATCATTATTTTGGTTAGAAAACATTATTATATATGGCTAGTTTTCTTTATAATCAGATCATTTAAATGAATAAATAAACCCCAAAAAGGAAACTGAGCTGGGAACTTTTGAATAGTGGATATCGGGATAAATGCTTGATCCACTCTTTTTCTTAATCTCCAGATTAAATTATGCTTGCTCTCCTCTTGTTATTAATCTCTAGATTAATTAACAGAACGGGATTAAGGATATCCCATTCTAAAGTTTTCAGCTCTGGACAGTTTTGTTCAACGAAACTCTCTTAAAGGAATTGATCTGCAACAAGCGATAATTTTCTAATTCCTATATCTTTAAAACCTGATGGTATAGACCTTCGATATTTCAAACTTATATTGTTACAAAGATATAAATCACACTTTGTTGCAAATACTCAATTCCCTTCTGGCTCAGTTCTTGGGAGATTCCGTAAATGTAAATATCCGGATCTTAGTTCTGATTGGTTCTCACTTGCAGGTCTCCTCTGACCCTGATTCTGATTGGTTGTCATGGTTTGATCCAACTAAAATGTTTTTTACTCCATGGACTACTACCAGGTTATTATTATTGTTATTATTATTATTATTATTAGCGATCTTGCTATTACTATTATTATTCTTATTACTATAATTCTTCTTCTTCTTCTTCTGCTTGTTATTGTAATTATTATTATTGTTATTGAAGTTACTAATATTATTATTATTAT